TTATCTGGATAAAAGTTAAAGTCCAAATAAAAATTCATGAAACCAGCATCTTGTAATGGTTCATTGCTGAAATACAACTAATTTTTGCAGGATGCACAAGGCAGAAACATTGCTAAAACATGTCTAATAGTGCTAAACAAGGAAAATCTTAACTTGTTGAATCACTTGGCCAGGCTTTTGTAGGTATGGAAGTGCTCAAGGGATTTTCAAGCACATTTTAGCAGCTGCCTGCCAAATTCTAGCAAGCATCAGGCTTTATCTTGCATTTGAACCCCCTCTTGGGTTAAGAGTGCTGATTCTATGTGGCTACCTTAGTTCCTCTAGAAATATGGTATTATGTAGATTTTATCTTTTATTTATTTATTTATTTTTAAATACCAGAGCTGCAAGAGGGAGAGAACTTCCTGCTCTTGAGAAAAGCCTGAGTTGAGGTTTCTTAGCTGTGAAGCATCTAGTTCCAGTAAAGAAACTGTCCCTGCAGCTGGTAGCTAACCTAGACTCAGAACAGGACTTGCTCTTGCACAGTAGGACCTGGAAGTACTGGTGGTAGAAATATGTCAGTACCTCTACTCGTCTCATTGTGCCGAGTGAACACTGATACTTCATGGAGTCCCAACCATCACTTGGGCTGATGCTGGAAGGTAAAGACTCCTCTGCCTTCTAGGCAGCATTGTGACATACTGTTCTTTATCTCATTAAAGCTAGAGCTTATTGATGCCAAAGATTTATGACATTATTTGAAAATAGTAAGTTTAGGCTTTACAATGTGCAATTTTAATTCAGAATTTATATATAAAGTTGGCTTATTTAATAATGTACTTAATATTTCTTTTCGCAGTAATGGAAGTTGGATGAAATACTGGGTTTTTTTTTGTGTGTTAATATCTGCAGTTTTAAGGCAGGAAAGGGAATTAAATGCTCAGTTGCTAGCTCTGCTCACTTCTAACTTCAATATTTTGGAAAGGGGTGTCCTTGAAGATTTTAAAAATATTTAACTGCATGATCCCTTCGTAAGCATAAAATGTTGGCTCATTTTATAATCATGTGTTTCCCATTTTAACAAAGGGTGAGGTCACCATGCCCCACTGGGTGGAGGGGCGGTAGATGATGTTAACTGTGCCACTTACCAGACCGTGCCCATCACATGAGCAAATGGCTGAGACTTAAGGAAAAGGTATTAAAAGAAATAAGACAACTTCACTTTGGGTTTTCAAAAAATGGCTGTGGACCTCGTTCAGTTAACGGCATGTGGCTGGAGCCTATGTTTTGCTTCACAGCAACCTCCACTTCATCTCAAAGGTCAGAACAGGTACTGTTTTTTTTCAAGAATTATGATTTCTTTATTTTTCCAAAGAGATCTTTTGTCCTCTAAAACCAAGTTGACTCTGAAAGTGAAACTCTGATTACTGTGCTAGCTGAGGCTTTTGTTCAGGACTCTGGTTCTGCTAATTACAGCATGCCACAGGCTGTGCAGAGAGCCAGGACCTGGGTCTTGGGTGTTTGCCCAGATATCTGTGAAGAGCCAGAGGCTGTCACCTGGGTATGAAGAGAACTGACTTGCCTGAGGTTTCTTCTCTCTAGGTCCCAGCAGCCGCTTACCGCAGCTCCTCTGGCAGCAACAACACCCAACCAGGGAGGAAGGTGCACAGGTCTGCTCTCCTAAAACCTTGTGGCAGGACACAGTGCCAGGCGGGTGTCCTAAATGTTCTTTAAATGTGCAGGAGCATCTGGATTGGGTCACATAATGGAAAGCAGATGGAGCGAGTCCTTGCAAACACAACAGGCGCTGGGAAACGGCTGTCTGAATTTGAGGGGAGGGGAATTATCCTGTTCAACAAAACAGTCATGGATTACTTTTTTTTAAGGCTGGCTTCAGCTACAGGATAATGCATAATGCTTGCCTAGCTCTTTGAGAATATAGTGTTAAATAAACATGAACTAATCCTTGCAAGAATGCATCCTGTGCTGGCTCTGCCTCTCCTACAGCAGCTGCTGGCTAAGTTTGTTCCTAGGTCCTTGCCTTTTCTACTCATTAGCAGAAATATGGCTCTATCTTGGTTGTTTCATTTTTCTTGGATTTATTAATGCTGAAAGTATTGACTGAGAAGGAGTGTTGCCTTACAGGAGCATTAAAACTTCTCAAGAAAAACGCAAGGTATGAGAAAGAGCACTGCTGTTGCAAACTGGAGTGGTGGTTAATGCCCACTAATGAAGTGATGTACTGGGGCTTAGCGATGTATCTGGGCTTGGAGCTTTGCAATGGCCAAAGCAGCTCTGGCTGTATGTGCCTGCTCGCTCCTCCCTCCTCTTCCCCACCCCCCCCCAACCCCGAAAGCCTATCTTAAAGCTACTTGAGCTTTTGCCAAGCAGTTTTGGCCTATGAACAATTCTGCCCTCGCTTCATGATCTTGTGGTGGGTCAGCGCTCTGCAGTGGCTCAGCGAAGGGTCCCGCGAGGGTGGGACTGGGGTCCACACCGCTGCGCATCAGCTACCTCAGCCAGCACTGGTGTGGCTCAGAGCAGCCACGGCAAGTGAACGTGTGCCCTTCCCGCGGGGCAAGGCTGGGGCACCTTAAAAGGTCACCAGGGGCTGGTGGTGGAGAGCGTGCTTGCTGCCACGGCGGGGTACCGAGTCAAAGCCTAGCCTCAGAGGGCTTGAGCCAATTCTGGGAGTGTGAAATTAGTTTTAAAAGCAGCAAGGAGTACTGGTCCTGTGGGTTTTCTAGGTGCTTAAGTTGTTTTGAAACTAGCATCTGGACTGATTGTGAAAGCTCTAGGCTGCTTGGTAAACATACAGCCAGCAGTCCTAGAACAGGCTGTGAAATAGCTGTGATTCTTTTTAAGGACTTCTTTGGAGAAGAACAAGCCATTCATATCAATGTGTGCATCTGCCTGGATGCCCTCCTCAGGGAAATACGTCAGACCAGTCACTGGGAGGAAACCTGTGTCTAGGAGGATCCCTTCTTGAGGAGATCCACCCCATTTCATGTTTTCAAGAGCTGCAGGAGAACAACCTTGGACCTCTGCTCTATTAAAGCATTTTACAGTTCTTTCTGCTTGCATTGGAGAAGGGCTGACAAAGATTTCTCTAGGTAACAGTGGACCTTAATTGTATCCTTTCTCCTGTTGATATATTGGCTCTTGGACATGTTCCAGAGATTGCACACAAACCAGTGGTAGCATTCCTCCTTCCTCTCTGGGAGATCTGGGTGGGCATAGCATAGAGGCTTTATGCTACTGTCTGTGGGGATGGAGGGTGGGAGCTCGTGCTGCTAGAGCTAGTGCAGAGGAGTCACACAACCTGTGTTTCAGGTAGAGTGCCAAAGTCAAGGGTAAATGTTGTTCTTGTTAGCAGTGCTAATTATTTCTCCGTCAGCACTGATGTTAAGTTCCAAGGACCCCAGCATCTGGGAACTCTGCTTTCTCACTTACCACCATGTTGTGCTAACTGGGAGTTGCTCTTTACCAGTTCATCCAGGGGAATTGCAGAAGAAAGCTGTCTTAAGTACCTTAAAAGAGAAATTTGGGGGTGGAATGTTGATTTTATGGCTTAGCCTGGGTTTTTTCTTAGGGGTACAGTGAAAGGATGTGTTTCCAAATTCTTAGGAGAGCAGTCGCACACAGTTGTGTGCTGTCAAACCAAGAGCACTGCTGTGCCTGCTCCTTTTGTGCTCCTTTGCCGGTTACAGAGTATATTACAGAGGTGATGCAATTTTTGCGTTGACGCTGGCCGAACGGCATATCTAGTCCAGTGGGGAGCGTGGTGAAATCTGTTCCTTCTGGAGTCTCTGAGCTTCAGAGCAAGAGCACAGGAGAGCTGAGCATCCCTTTCAATGGGAGGGTGTACACAAGTGTGGGCAGCTTTTCCTTGTAACTCAGCATTTCAAAACCAAGATTTGAGCCTCTTAAAATTGGGAAAAGAAGGCAAGAACGAAATCAAACAATTTTTAAAATGAAGGATGTTTTTTTTCTTTGCATCTTGGTCTGGTTCTTTGACCGGTAAGTAAGAGGGCTGGAGTGAGAGACAAAGCTGTGGATGGAGAACTGCAGGTGGCCTGCGAAAGGGAGCGGAGTCCTGCAGCTGCCCTGTCACTGCCTGCAGTGTTTGCTGTGTGTGCCGTGTCTCACGGGGGGCTTTGTCCTGCCTAGAGCCTGTTCTCAAGATCTGTTCTTCATTCACGTGTCTGCGCCACAAATGCTTTTACAACCACTCTAGTTATTGCTTGCTTCTTTCCCTCTGGTACCTTGTTCAAAAAAGGCTGAAGACATTGGAGTAAGCATCCTGTACGTGGTTGGCAGGATTGTGGTAGTGCTGTGGTGAAAGAAAAGGGTATCTTGGGATTTCTGTATTTGAACGCTCTCTGCTGGGCTGGAAAGCCAGCCCTTGTGAAGTTGTAGCACGTAGGAATGAGGGGAAATGAAACTAGATCTCATTTCACCAGTACAAGTTGAACAAAATCAACGTTTTAAAGAATTTGAGTCCTTTGCATACATACTAACTGGAGATGACGGGACTGTGTAAGAGGACTTTATGAATGTTCTCCTAGCAGTGCTTCCTTTTTAAGCTGTTTTCTTCAGTTTTGTTTTAACAAAATGTTGGTCCTGCATAGACATTTGAAGAGCTCCATGCATCGTAAGGTACACTTGGCACATTGTTGGCTTATTTAATGCAGCGCCCTGAGCACTTTTGTGGAGTGGTTGGTGCCACATGCTCCTTCACACCAGCATCACTGGACTGTGCTTGCAGGGAGCGGGGTGTGTACAGAGGTGGGTCAGGCTGAGAAGTGAGCTGTGCTCATCCTCTGGGCATCAGGGCTTCGAGTTGCTTCTTGGGTTAGAGTTGCCCTGTTTTGCTTCATCTCTCCTGAAAACTTGTTCTGCCAGGAAGAACAACTTTACTGATGCTGAGAGTCTCCTGCTGCCTTTGCACAGATGCCTGACTGAAGCTGAGAGTCAGAATCTGTGCTTCACCATTCTTACTGTGCTTTCTTTTCTTGCAGGCGTGAATGACAGAGGAGGTGCCCCCGACTGCACTTACAGACGTAAACCTGCGTCTTCTCTGCCACGATGACATAGACACAGTGAAGCAGCTCTGTGGCGACTGGTTCCCAATAGAGTACGTTACCCGTTTGGGGTGTGGGGCAGCAGGGATCTAGAAACAAATGGTGTGAACCTGCACTGGTCCAGTTCAGAGTTGACACCAGAGGCTCTGCAGCCACCTGGACTGTTGCTAAGATAGCAGCAGGTTCGGAATCTTTTATGTGCTGTGGAGGTGTTCCTGTTAATGGCTCGTTGCTGCCTGTCCTGCAGGGTCCTGCAGTCATCAGAAAGTTTCTGTATGCAGATTTTGGCAGAAAGATGGGCTCTGTAAGAAAGGGGGTGGATCAGCTTCTTGGGAAAGACTGTGTATGAGATGGGGAAAGGAGCACACCTCCAGAAGAAAGGATAGCATCCCTGTGCTTGTGAAAGAAAGTTGTGTTCTGGGGTGTGTGCCAAGAAAGCACCCTCAGAGCTGAACTAGACTGACATGAAGCAACTTCCTAAGGGACTGTCTTTCCGAATGTCCCAGGGGGAGCTTGAACTTGCCGGTGTACTCAGGATCACTGTTACTCCCAAAACTCTGGCAAAGATCTGGCTTCAAGCTGATCTCAGTCTGCCCCAGGTCAGTTCCCCAGGCCGCATTTGGTAAATGTTTGTGTCTGCATAAGCAAGGGAATAAGGACCTTTTCTGGGGGCCAGTGATAGCTTTCTGGCTTAAAGCATCCAGGGGAACTACAGCTGTAGACTTCAAGGATTTTTTTGCTTTAGCTTTGTTGAGAAGGTTTATAGACTATTTTAACAGATTATAATTAAGATTGCTTAAAATCTAACAAACCAGCAAAAGCATTCAAAATACTCTGAATTTGTAGATTTCTTTTAAACAGGAGGCATGCTGGACTCTCACTTTGAAATAAATTAGTGTATTCTAGTTTCCCTTTAGTAGCTGCAGAAGGGGGAGCAGAGGTGGGGGCTGGTGTTGCGGGGTCTTTTGGTACTGATATGCAGGGGTTTTTTTTTCACATGTGTATCAAATTCATGAGATCCTTACACTCTTAGATGAGGGCAGATGGATTTTGCATTTTAAAATAACTTGCTGAAGATGGAAGTGAAAGCTCTGGGCACTGAATGTAAAATGAAAATGTGGTCATAGCAAAGCAGGAGGCCATTACATGAGCAGCCTGCATTGCTGCTTAGATGCAGCTGAAAGAAACCATGCTACCAAATGGGGTACAGCAGCTGTTTGATGTTCACTGGGACTGTACAACAGTTAAGGCAGGAAAGGTGAATAACTTCCTAACCCAGATTCCGTGGAATAAGCCAAGTTACTAGCGTAGAAAGAGCTTTAGGTTGATACACGGCTGAGCTACATGGCTGCATATCTTTGCAGAAGACAGCCCTTTTAGTAGCACAGCTTCCCTCCCTTAGTCTGGTGTGAAATACATTGGCCTGCAGTTCCAGTGACTGATGTTTAAAGATGTTGCTGCCCCTTTCCAGCTGAGCAGCATCGTGGCACAACATTGGCTGCAGCACTGCCTGATCCTGTTGGCTCTGTGTCCCCAAACGTGCCTGTTTTTTCTTCCTTCCCAGATACCCTGACTCATGGTACCGAGATATCACTTCCAACAAGAAGTTCTTTTCCCTCGCAGCCACTTACAGAGGCTCCATCGTGGGAATGATAGTGGCGGAGATCAAGAGCAGAACAAAGGTGCATAAAGAGGTATGCTACTAACCTGTGCTTTGGTATGAGGTAGTCCACCTCTTGCCATGGTTAACTGTGATGGAACCTGTTTGGAGTATTTTTCCCCCACTGCCATCCAGGTACTTATAAGAGCTAATTTAAGAAACCTGAGTTAATTTAAGGACCCCGAGAACATGCTGACTTCCAGCTAATGGAGCATGGGTGGTGGGGTGCATCGGAACACGTGGGCTGCTGGGCAGCTTGGTACCACAGAGTCTCTGCCTGCTGGGGCCAGGCAGCTGGGCTCGATGGGAGGTTGCTGAGATCAGGTCATCAGGCACAATCCAGAAGTGACTGTGTAGCATTTAACTGTTGCCTGGTGGTTTTCAGTGTGCCTGGTCATCAGTGGTGACTGAGTTATGGCACAGCTGTGGGAGAACAAACCTCTTCCTTTCTTATGTAAGGGTTGAACTTCCTTAGCTCTGCTGGGCGAGTCACTCCTGTGACTTCCTGCAGAAACTCCTTCATTTACACGGTCGCTGTCTCGAACACAAAGCAGAGGTAACCAATCTGCAGAAAGCTCAGGCTTCGGGGATAACAGGGCTTGGAGGCCAGGAGAGACAAGTACAGCAAAGAGGTGAAGAGGAGATGACCACTGAAGACAATATGGAAAAAGACCACTGGGTTAGTGTAGGGAAAACAGCATAAGCAAGTGGATTAAAGAAAACCAGGGGCAATGCAGAGATGCACTAAAAGGCCATCCGTGTTACGATTAAACAATAATCTTAACATTCGCAGGAACCAAAAACATTGAGTGGCGTGGGTCTCTTCACTCTAGCTATCTGGCTTCACCTCAGAGCTAGTCAAAATCAGAAACTGCATCTTCAGCAACTCTAACAAAAGGCTCTTGTTCCAGCCAAGTTGAAAACCAGGGGCTTATTCAGACACTGCTCCAGGCGATTGAGCCTGTAGAACATGTTCCTTGTCCTCTGCAGCGGTACAGAGATCTCCAGCTGACACGAAGCACAGATGGAACATGCAGGCAATAAAGACTCTTGCTGGATTGATCTAGACACTGATGGGTAACTCCAGAATTGGCAATTTGAATCCTTCCTGACAAAGAATGCAAATGTATTCTGTCTCTAAGCCCACAAATAATGTATATAGTAAGGAAACATCATGATTTGTGTTTTTCATCTGGGAAAATTATACGAAAATAGGAATAACCCTGAAGTGACCATGCTTGGATTTTTTTAACTCCCTACATCCTTTCCAGAAGCTTCAGCTGAGGTTGCTCAGTGAAGTTTCCTGCTATAGCATTGTTTCAGTATGGGATTCTTGCTTTCTCCTGTGCCTTCTGAGGCATCCTGCTAAATAACTTGTCATATCTCTACTCAGGATGGAGACATCCTAGCTTCCAATTTTCCCCTGGACACTCAAGTTGCTTACATCCTAAGTCTTGGAGTGGTGAAGGAGTTCAGAAAACATGGAATAGGTAAGATGCTGCTAAGTGACAACTCGGTTGCGGTCGTTTGCCACGTGTGGCTAGTGGGCATGACTGAAGGAGCTCCACCATTTCATCTGAATACCCTTTTGAGCCAAGCTTGTCAGTGATGTGTACCAGCAATTGTGAAGATGATGCATTCGTGTCCCCTTCTTGCTATTAATGCAGGTGCGCTGAGATGTTTTTACTGGTGTAGGCACAACACAATGTGCAAATGTGTCCAAAAAGCACGGGGTTTGTCTGTCTTGTTCCCAGGGGACAGCTGAGCACACCAAAAACTTCCACTCCTGCTGCTGGGACTGACTTCGCCCTGGAGCAGGGTTTGAAACGATTTTCTTTCATGGGTATCAGAAGAAGAAGAGGCAGAAAATATAGCTGCTTTTAACTGTTCAACTTCATCAGATAGAATAAACATTTAGAAAAAGATAAAGGGAACTGGAAAAAGAGCGTAACTGGGATGTGATTAAATCTGTCAAATGCATGTAAAAGTCAGCTCTGCCTGCCTGCTGCAACACAGCATTTTTGCAGCTGTTTGAAAATCCTGCAGTCAGAAGGGCTTATCTCCATTTAGAGCAGGATGTGTTTTGTCATCAAGTAAGTGCCCTTCTGGTGTAATTTCAAGCATGAGATATATCTTTGATCTGCAAAAGGAAATAGGCCAGGTTTGGCAGCATGAGCCAGTGTTGCACATCTGGAGTTTCTTCAGTGGATACAGGTATAACCCACCTTCTTCAGGTCCTCCCTTCTCCCCCAGTCGTGTTTAGAAAAGTACAAAATGATAGGATATGTAAAGAAATGACCAGAAGAGTCCTCAGTGAGAGCACTGTATTTAAAACTTGCATTGAAGTGCTACTGCAGTTAAATTTGTTGTACAAAGAAGAAAATACTAGCACAGAATAGCTTTCAGAGAAGATGGTAAAGGGGTCTTCTGTTCTGTAAAATTGTGCTGGTTTTGAGTCTCCTTTCAGTTTCTAAATCCTAATTATTTTTTTTCCAGCTCTGTCTTGCTGGAATTTTCTCCTTTCAGAACCAGTATTTCCTGTATTCATTACATCTGTACAGCACGTTGCTGTGCTCTCTCAAAAACTTTGGACTTGTACCTGTAGAAAAACAACCCAAAGAAGCTGCTGCCGCTTCTTCTGAGACCTTTCTCTTGAGAGTTTTTCTACTTGTGTTTGAAGCTGAAGTCTTTCATGCAGGAGGCTTTTCACCCCAGGCATACTTCTAAGCCCTAAAGCTCTGATTTTTCTCTGGCAGACATTAAAAGGCTTTGGTTTTTAGTTCTCTGCTATTCTTAAACCAGAGGGCAGTTGCATTTCTGTGAGAGTAGAGTATCTCATAACAAAATTAAACCGCTCTCCCGTTGATGTCGCTCAGTGTCTTTTTGTGCTTGGCTGATATAAATTCTCACTAAATATCAAGTGACCATGAAGTCAATGCTGTTGACTTCTGCTCTGAAATCCTGTGGGTCCTGCTATAAGTCTTACGTGCCCTGGGGATTGTGAAACAGCAGTGTAAATCTCATCTGCGTGTTTGTATTAGCTAAGCTATTTCTTTAGCCTGTTGTTGCCACACCTGATGGAAGAAGTTCCTCTGCAGATTCTGCTGGGTCCTTCATGCCATGCTGAGGTGGTTTGGATGAACCTCGGGGTTTCATTTCTTGGGGCCGGGGTATTCTCTGTGCTCTTCTCTGGTTTCTCCTGCTGACTCGTGGCTGCAGCAAATCCAGGTTGAATGAGACTGTGCCTCAGCTCCCCTCCTTAGATGGGATCAGTTCTTAGGTTTTGAGTTCATCAGACACAATGCAGTAACCTGCTTGTGAAGTCCTGTTTTGACACACTGCTGTTTCAAATAGCTTTAAAATAAATAAACGTGATGGAACTGATACCACTGAAAATGACTCACTGACCTTCCCCAAGGCTGAGCGCTGCCTGGCTGGGGATGGGTGTTATTGCCAGATTCCTATGTCTGGCTCATTGTTGTCATTATTGAATCAGAAGTTTTTGTCTTTGTAAAATCCTTTGTGAAACCTTGTGAGGCCATTGCTCATAGGTGAGATGAGATTCCTATTAAAACCATGTACCATGGTCCTGTTAACTTTCTCAAGAGGGTCTGTGAGAACTGGCTGGGATCTAGGGTCTTCAAGCACGTGCAGCAATCTCTGCTGAGGTGCTGGGTGAAGGAGATCTCAGCTGGGACCTACAAACCCTTGTGCTGTCCCTGAGAAGGCATCTGCACCGTGTGATTCTGCTGCTCTGTCCTTCAACAGGTTCGCTCTTGCTTGAAAGTTTAAAAGACCATATATCAACGACTGCCCAGGATCACTGCAAAGCCATCTACCTGCACGTCCTCACCACTAACAACACAGCAATAAACTTCTATGAAAACAGAGACTTTAAACAGCACCACTATCTTCCCTATTATTATTCCATCAGAGGGGTCCTCAAAGATGGCTTTACCTACGTCCTGTACATCAATGGCGGACATCCACCCTGGACAATCTTATATCCTTTACCTTCAGTCTCCGATGAGCACTGGAGCACACTAAGGAGATACAAACTAGGTTTTGGGTTAAAAATAGCAATCCGGAAAAGTGTGAGCTGGCTGGGTCTGGGGACTGATGCCTGCTGAGATGTGAGTTTAATCTGAAGGTGGAAGGAAAGCGGTGTTGGAGGCATTTGACAGTGACTTGTTTGTACCAAAGCTCTCCCGACTCCTCTGGGAACAGCTGAGGGAGGCGGTGTGGGATGGTGCATTGAATGCTAAATTGGAGCGAGCTTGATGCCAGTGATAGCGAATGCAGGTGTTAACACATTCCCTAGCCAAAGCACTAGGCCTGTTTTGGCTTGTGGGGTGCAGGATTTGGCCAGGAGCATGGCAGAGAAGCCCTTGGTCTTGCTTCCTGTGACTTAGGATCCCCTGTGACTGGCCTGGCCTGGATCTCAGCGGGCTGCTCTCAAACTGACTTTGGGAGATTGTTTCAGGTCACTGGATCACGAAGAAGTAACCTGATCTTCCCTGGGTGTAATTAGTCAGTCCAAACCTCTCCAGGCAGGTGGATGGATTGCCATCCCCGCAGGAGCTCGCTGTGGAGTGCAAAGGGAACAAAGAGCTGCCTAGAGGAGGTATTTCCCACATGAATTGCAGCCAGTGTTCCCAAATTGCCTCTTTTTACAGTGCAAAGCAGACCTGCTTTTGAAAGAAAGGAGCAGGCCATTAATACAAGGAGCAGAAGTAACCGAGCAGAGCACTGCACGATGGCGTCTCTTTAGGGAGTATTTAAAGTTATTTCTTAAGTTACAGAGTAAATGTTGCTGTCCTTAACTGGTGGCCACTGACTACCTACAGCACATTGGATCAACGCTAGCCAGCCTGAGCCCGTGTTCAATTCCCCAGAGGATATATCGCCAAGCCCAGAGCCTTCTCTGCAGCCTTCTGCCCTGGTCTGGCATTTCTGCCAAGAGCGGCATTGAATACAGCCGGACAATGTGACTGGATCAGAAGATACACAAAAAGCAAAGGTAGGTACCTGGGGGAAAGCTCCCTCCTCCTCCCGAGGCCGGCGGCGCCCCACGGCCGCTGTCCTGGGGCAGCTGGGAGCGTCCTCGAGTGAGGGCTGCCGAAGCTGCGGCCTTGCTGCTGGGCACGGTGGCTGGGCAGACTCCTGGCAGCTTCATTTGAAGGGAACTGGAACTCTGATCTCATTTACTTGAGCCCAGAGCCTGAGAGCAGGCTGAACCTGTCCCTGCTGTCTCTCTCCTTTTCCCAGCTCTGTTAGACCAGCTCGCAAGACCCAGAGTGACTGAGTCCTGCCTCCTTCCTCAGCTCAGTGTCCCGGCACAGCAACCGGGAGCCCATTCGCTGCCGGTTGCATGGCATCTCTGACAACAAGGTCTCCAGGACAGTGGCTCCCCAGGATGCTTGAAGAGACCCGTGCCACCTGGTTTCCTTAAGACAGCTGCCCTCTTTTTTTTCCCTAGGATCGTTCTTCCTTTCATCTCGTGAACCGTCCGGCTCCGCACCGATTCCGGTGATGACTGCTCTCGGTCAGTGACCCAGCCCCTGGACGGGACTCCTTGTCCCACAGGTTGACTCAGATTTGGTAGCCTTCACACTTGACGGGCTGCAGCCCTGACTTACCCCGCCGTGGCCAGGAGCCTGCGAGCGCTGCCCGGGCAGGCCTGGCTGGCGTGCGAGACATCTGGCTGCGCCGTAGCTGAGGGCCCTTTGCGTCACCCGTTTGTGTGCATGTTGCACTGTCCCCGCCACTTCCCTTGCCTCTGGTTTGCTCCTGTTCCTACACATGATGTAGAGGGGTTCAGTTGCTGCTTCCACACCACGGCTACTGAAAGCAGCGTGAATGAGGTTAATGAATCTGCACTGACCAGCCCTGTAAATGAGCCGTGAGCGCCCTGGCAGGCTGCTGCTGGCAGAATATACAGTCGTGCCCTTGTTGCTGGGGAAGGGGGGAGCTGGGCGAGGGGAAGCGGGAGCAGGGATTGTGTCTGGGTCCTGCCAGCTCAGCTGCTGGGGCTTCCTGGGAGCAACCTCCAGGGAGGGCAGCTGCCTCGCGTGAGAAACTACCCAGCCCCACCAGCCCTCGGGAGTGACTTAAAAAGAAGCATCCAATTCAGGATGCATCAGGTAGAAGGCAGGGAATGAAACTGCTATTTCATAGTGAAATATATATATTATACTGTATAGATCTTTCTGCCTTTGTCCAAGTTGGAACGTAGCAGGGGAGGGGAGCTGGGGATGTAGAGCCAGAGCCCTGCAGAGTCTGGTCCAGAGCCCTTCTCCTCCCCTGCGTGCGCCCTCCCTTGGCACCGGGGCTGGACTCTTGCAGCAGCTTTAGGGATGAGCTCTGGGCACCGATCACGCCAGCTTTTCCTGGCTGCAGCAGAGCCCTCCCCCGGGTGCTGGCGGGCAGTCTCCCAGCGGCTCTCCAGCCGTGTCGTGGCCGCAGGACCCCTCGGTGGCCGGGCCGACCAGGGGCTCTCAGCAGTTCAGGTCCAGCCTGTGTGGAGGCCCCGCTGTGCAGCCAGCCAGGCGCCCTTCCTGCGCCTTGGAGCAAGGCTGGGTGAGTGCTCTGCTTTTAAGGAGGGACTCTCTGCAGCTCCCCCAGCCCTGGGTGTGTGTCAGAGGTGTGGGTATCATCCTTGTACCCTGCTGGGCTCCCCTGGCGAATCCTCCGTCCTCGGCTGAGGCTCTTCCCTTGCTCAGCACTGTGTTTCTCCTTCCCCTCTCATTTTGAAACCAGGACTTGAGCGATGGAGAGCTAAGCCGCAGCTGGTGCATCGCCTGGGTGTGCGGGCAGCGCCGGCTCTGGCAGCAGCTTCGGGATGTGAGACAATACCAGTCAGTCTTAGAACAGAAAGCAAGCGCGTTAAGGTATTGCAGCCCGAATGACCGTACAAAGTCATGTCAGTGTCTGTAAGCCCTTGGGGTGGGAGTTAACCAATAAAAGGGTGCAGGAGCTGAGCTTGCTCCGGGTAGTACCGTGCTGGTTCCTGAGAAGGGGAGCTGGGGCTGTGTGCTGCCCCGCAGCTCAGGGGTGGCTCTGGCACAGGAGGCCCCGGTGAGCGCAGCCTCCGCTGCAGCCCGGCCTGCGGGAAGCAGCTTGCTCCAGCCCCAGGGGCTGGCACGTGCTGTGTTTCGGAGCAGCAGGAGGCTCTGCTGCTGGGAGGTGCTGGTCCCTCTTCTGGGGCTCAAAGCAGCCTGGCTCAGCGACTGTTTGACACGGGGTAAAAAGGCGTCTGTCTCCGTGAGGACAGCTGAGGTTGGGGCTGTTGGGAGAGTCCATCCTTGGAGACCTTCAAGCCCCGAGAAGCCAGGGCTGAGCTCTGTGGGCCTTGCTCTGAGGCTGTTGGAGCAGAGCACACACCCGAGGCTCCCTCCAACCGCTCTGTCGCTGGTTCCCGGTCAGTTTAGACTCACAAGCAGCTCGGTGCTGGGCACGAAGTTGCGGCCGCTGCCCTGCGCGCAGCAGGCAGGCCGGGCGAGGCTCAGGGGGGGCGGTTCTGGGGCTGATGCTCGCGGCTCCGGCTGAGCTGCCTCCCTTGGGGTGCTGGCTGGGCGAGGAGCTCGGCTGCCCACGGCGCTGGGGTCCCAGCCCGCGGCCGTGCCCCGGGCCTGCGAGCGCGGTGGTGGAGCTGCTCGCAGAAGTTGGGGGCAGGAAATGCAGCCGAGCTGCTCGTGGCACCTCGGCCTGGGAGCCCAGGGCCACCCTGCGCGTTCCCCCCACCCCAGCCCTGTGGTCGGGGCTGCGGCTGCCACCACCTCACCCAGCCCGGCCTCGCCGGCTCAGGGGGCCCTGGCCCTGCTCCCCCAGGCATGTCGCTGCCCAGCGGCTCTGCCGGCGGGTGCTGGTGATGGCGAGGCGCTGGCTGGGAGGCTCTGGCTGTCCCCCCTGCTCCTCTCGCAGCCCAGCTGGCAGGGGAGGTAGCGGCAGGGGCTGCTGCAGCCCCTCCTAGCCACAGCGCTTTCCCAGGGAGACCTGAAGCCCCCTTCTCATTCAGCCTCATTTGTGTTACCATCTTTTGGTTTCTTTTTTTTTTTTTTCTTTTTTCTTTGCTTATCTACTTTTTACTTAAGCAAGTCTATTGGTTTATATGAATTTCTTTAGCAACTCAAGCCCCTGGTTTTCCTCAGCACTTGCTTTCTCTGGACCAGAATGACTCTCTCCTGCTTGCCTGGGACTGATGTTCCCCCCCCACTTTCTCTCCTGCCCATTACACAACCCAACTCCACTGCTGCAGCACTTGGGCACATCCCAAGGGGACCTGCGACTGATCCGCGTGTCCTCCTGCCACCCTGTCCTCTGAGGCATCAGCCAAGTCACCCCCTCACAGCCCATTATTTATTGAAGAGCATTGTGCTGCTATCATCGCCTTCTCTCTAAACGTCTTCAATTAAACCAAACCTCTTTTCCGAGTCGTTTGTCACTGCGCAGGAGCCAGCCTCCGCCCGGCTGTTCGACCACCTTCACCTGACCTTGCTGGGGCTGGGGGGGACGGGTGGAGGATTTTACGGAGGCTCAGCTGAAATGCCTCCCCCCGCTGAGAGCAGAGCCTCGCTGCTGCTCCGGGCTCCTCACCGGCTGCCCCAGCAGCAGCTGCCTTACGGAGGCCAAGCGCCTGCTCACGCACAGCCGGTGCCCAGGAGCTGCACGAGCCCTTTTGGAGGAACCCACCAGCAAAAGCTTAACGCTGGTTGGTGGCGGTGCAGCACCCTGAGCCAGCCCGCGCCCCGCCAGCCCCCTCTGCCCCAGCTTCCCCCCAGCTCTGGGCCCTGCCCTTCACCTCCAGCTTCTTGCCCCAACCCGCGCCGGCGAGGAACAGGGCGGGGGGCAAAGCCCTGAGGCAGAGGGAACCACCAGGTGCTGCGCTACCCCAGCCCCGGCACCCCCAAAGCTCGGGGTGGCTGCAGGCTTTGCGCCAGCCGTCAAGAACGATGCCGACTGCGAAGCGTTCAGCAAAGCCATTTATTTCACTTTCCTGCTCCCAAAGATCTCCAGGTAGAAACCCAGACGAGCGCTCCCCCAGGCCCCAGAGGGAATTCACGGCACGCCACCCCGCCCCACCGCCCTGGCACCCCGAGCGGGAGCGCGGCCGCACCGCCGCCGGCGCAGGGGAGCCCCTTCCGACGCTGGCAGAGGTGCCTGGCCAGCAGCCCCGTCCCTCGGCTGTGCCCCCTGCACACACAGCCACGTCCGAGTCAACACGGGGGCATTGAAAAACTAAGACATTTTGTTCCTTAAAAATTAAATGGGGACCTGACGGCAGCAGTGCGTCCCTGAAATCGCAACGTAATTCTAAGGCTTCGGCGCCCTCACATAAGCACATGAACTCTCTGCAGGGGGCTGTGCAGGTTGATCTGGGAAGCTCGCTAGAGTTTAATGGCCATAAAAATACATAGCTTTCCCCTGCTTCAAACAAACCCAACCCCTCCCAGCTGGGCAGCAGAATCGCGTGGGCAGCAACTGCGGCCAGCAACGGGTCGGAAAGTTAGAAGAAAGTCTCTAGTCTCACCCACTTTTAATCAAGAGCAAACGTGGCAGCATCACTCCATCGGCTCAGCCACCGGCTGCTCCGCCACAGCGTTTGCCCCCAGCCCCGCCGGCTGCTCCAGCACCTCAGCCACCGGCGCGGCCGCCAGCTGCTCCGCCACGGCCCCGCTCTGCAGCCCAGCCACCGGCTGCTCCGCTGCCTCGGCCGCCGCCTGCGCAGCCGCCTGGTTCTCTGCCCTGTCTGCCAATTCGTTGCCCGTTTTAGCGGGTGCCGTCAGCTCGTTCCCTGGCTTAGCGGCAGGCAGGTTTCCCGTTGCCCCTGCCGCCTGGTCGATGGCCGGCTTCTTCGGCTTCTGCGTGGCAGCCACCGCCTCAGCCAGCTTCTCCTCCGGCACCATATTCAGGATCTTCAGGGCAAAGAGCAGCTGGAATTTGGCGGTTCCGACGAAGGAGTTGCCCAGGAAGTTGGGCAGCCCGCCCATGCGGTCCTTCTGGGTGTAGAGGGGGACACGGACCATGCCCATCACCTGCAACAGCACAGAGCGCAGCTCAGCAGGGGCCGCGGCAGCACCAGCCCCCCCGCACCCCCCCTCTGCCCCCACACCCTCGCCCCAGCACCCCACCAGCCCACAGCCCAGGCCTGCCCTGCCCCGGCTGCCAATCCCGCCCCTCCCTCCCTCCCGCCCCAGCCCCTGCCCCTGCCCCGGCTCTGCCTGCCCTTTCCTGCCTGCCCTCACCCGGCTGAAGCCCCTGCGCTGCCCCTCCCCGAGCCCCGGCTCCCCCTGCTCAGCTCCTTGTGCCCAGCCCTGGCTCCGTTCCCCCTCTTGCCCCTTCGGGAGGGGATCCCGCTGCCCCAGGCCGCTACGGGGAGCCCTGGTTTTCCCCCTCCGCACCCTGCCCTGCCTGGGGGCACCACGGCTTACCCGCACGGCCCCCTCAACCACGCCACAACCCAGGGCCAACTGCCTCCGTTCGCACAGCTGCCGAAACCTGCCGAGCGCCCCGCGGGCGCGCGGGGAGACCCTAGCTCTGGCGCTCTACCCCGGGGGCATCAGCCGGACCCAGCTTCCCCGGGAGGAAGGCTGCCTCCCGCACCACCTCCGTGCGAGCTGGGGAGAACTCGGGTTAGAGCAACACATCACCGCACCGAGGGTCGCGACTCCGGTCCAGGTGAACTCAGCCCAGGGCGGGGGGGAGGTGCCCACCAGATGCGAGACGGAGCTCACCCGCGTCCTGAGGCTGAGCGGGTCAATAGGGCTCTTGCCTACGCGGGCGGTCGCCGGGAAGGGCCGGAGCTCGAGCTCGCTACGCTCCGCAGCCCCAACCACCGACCCCTGGCAACCGCCGGACCTCCTAACGCCGGCGGCGCGCGGCACCCGCCGCCGGTAGCTCTACGTGCGGTGCATTCCCCCGCCGGGCTGCGGGAGACGGCAGCCCGGCAGACCTAGGAGGGAAGCTTCGTCTTCCCTGCGGCTAACGCTCAGAGCTCTACACACCCCCTCCCTGGGGTCCCACCTCCAGCCCGTGGTCTCGGGAATGCACCGCGCTGATCTCGATGGTATGCAGCTCCTCCAGGGTCAGCTGCCTGGCGTAGAAGTGTGCTACCACGCGGTGTGGCCCCTCTGTCAGGTGCGAGCACAGATAGTCAGCTTCCGTCAGGCGCACACAGCCCAAACCCAAGCCCAGCACCCGATTCAGACCGTCCTCCAGGGACCAGTAACGGCGATCCACGAACCCCCCGGGAAAGCCCAGTAGTCCGTCAAATCGCATCTGCATCTGCAATAGAGGCGGATGGTGTTAATGGGGCACAGCGGAGCCCCCGGGGCGGGGGGGGGCGAGGGGAGGCCCGCGGCTTCCCGGCCGCCTCCGGCGCGGCCCTACCAGCTCCAGCGCATCCAGGACCGTTCACCGACACCGTTCTCCGAGACCTCGCCGCGGCCCCGGGGCCGGGGAGCCGAGGCGGAGCCGCCCCGGCCGCGCAGCCCCGGGGTGGGGTTGGGGGGGGGGGGTGTGGGTGGGTCGGGGGCTGCTCCCCGCCCCGCCTCGGCCAAGCCTGACGCTACCGCCCTGCACGGGAACTACCGAGCCGCCGGGCCCACCCGCCAGCCCCTCAGCCCGCCTCCCCCGGAGCCCGCGGTCCCCGGCCCCCGGCCCCCCGCCCGCCCCCTCACCAGCACGGCGTAGCGCAGCGGGATGCGGCCGAACAGCATGCCCGGGTTGGGCGCGTACAGCATGGCGTGGCACGAGTGGCTCCAGCCCGGGCCCAGCCGCATCGCCTCGTACCGCGTCAGCGGCTTCAGCTCGGGGACGCCCGGCACCCCCAGCGTGGGCAGCGGCGGCAGCGCCCCCGCGCTCGCCGGCAGCGCGCCCATGGCCGCCATCGCGCCCATGGCCGCCATCGCCTCGCCGCCCGCCCCGGGAAGCCCGCTCGGCGCAGGCGCGGAGGCCGGGGGGGCGGGGACCGCCCGCCGCGGCAGCCAGTGGCGGCGCGCCGCGCGCCGCGGGGCCAATGGGCGCTCGGAGGCGCCCGCCAATCTCCCGGCAGCCGCGCGCGGCGGGGCGGCCGGCGGCGGCGGGCGACCAATGGGAGCGGGCGCTGCTGCCCGCGTCGCTCACCATATTAGGGAAAAGCCGCGCGGGGGCCGGCCGAGCCCGCGACCAATCAGAGCAAAGCGGGAGGGGAGGGGGGCGCCGAGGAGCGTGCCGGGAGGGAGGGAGGGGGGGGCCGTGAGGGCAGATGCTCCGCCCCTCCGCTGGTTGACCACGCCCCCTCCCACGGCCACGCACCCCGAGTGGAGCCCGACCCCCGCCCACGAAACACGGACTCGCGTGGCTGCTCCACGGGTTTATTATTAGAAACATAGAAGGGGAGGGGGGGGGAGGATCGCCCCAGGACCCACCGCAGAAGCAGAACAAGGCACAGGGCGTGGGCAGCGCCGGGCTCCGCAGGGGGGGTGGGGGTGTGTGTGTGTGTGTCAGCCCCGTCACACGTGGAAGGGGGTGGGACGGGGCTGAGCCCCCCCCCCCCGCGCCCCGCCCCACGGAGCCGCTGCGCTGTACAGGGGGAGGGACAGCAAAGGGCTGTGCTCGGTGTGTACAAAATATACAAGGGTAGTGTCCTTCATCTGCTGCTTTTAACCCCAAACCCACCCCCCCACACACACCCCCCACACAGACACCTCCCACGTAAAAACACGACGCCAGCCCCTACCCACCACCCCCTCACCACCGGCAGGAAACATGCACGTCTTTAAAAAAAACACCAGCCGGGCTGTGCCGAAAGCGTGCCGGTGCCGGCCGCCCCACCCGGGCCGGTGGGCAGGGGCCAGCCCCGCGGGACCGGGGACACGCGGCTCCGGCCCCGCTCACGAGAGGCTCTGCTCGTCCTCCAGGTGAAGCCGCGTCTGCTCGAAGAGAAGGGGCTGCGTGGGGCTGCCGGTGCCGCGGCCGGGGAGCGTCTTGGTGAAGTCGGACGAGCCTGAGGGAGGAGAAAGGGGGTTCAGGCCCGAGAACACCAACCCCGGGGTGGGACCGAGAGCCCACGCGGGGTGCTCAGCCCTGGGGAGCCCAGGCATGGGCTGAGAAGAGCATCACCCCCACCACCCCACCCCTGCCCCGAGACAGGGCTGGAGCCCAGGAGCTCCATCCCCTCTGCCCCCGTGAAGACGCGGGTTCGGCAAGCGCCAGGGGTGGGACGCTGTGGGGACACAGCATCGGCCACCAGCCTGGGAGAAGCCAGCAGGGACCTGGATGTTCACGGTGCCCACGAGGCAGCAGAGCCCTCACCCGGGAGGCCAGCAGAAGCCGGCGGAGAGGGCAGGGGTTTCTGCTGCCCTGCCTGGGATCCTGGCAGTCAGGGACCCCCGCGGGGTGGGGGGATGCTGGTGCCAGGACCGGGAATGGAGCAGGACAGAGCCAGCAGCGCAGCCCGGTTGGTTTGCTGCCGCCTCCTTCCCTGCCCCGCTGGCCAGCATCAGTCCCGTCCCTGCTCTCACCCGGCTGCCGGCCTGCCCAGGAGGGGTCCCTGCTGTCCCCCCCCCCAACAGCGATGCGCAAGAAGAATGAGAAGACGTACCAGCTTACTCCTCTATACCAATAGAGCAGGAATCGGGACCCAGTGCTGCCCAAGACAGGAGGGAGGAAGGCAGACAGAGAGGGAAGGAGACATTAGAGAGGTACTCAGAACAGACTGCGACTCTACGGAAGAAAACAGGCTGCAACAACAAGTCAGGGGCGAGGCCAGCGAAGCACGGCACCCCGCAGCCCTCCCCGTGACACTGCCCCACAGCAGAGGGGTGCCCACTGCCCCCCGCGCTGGCTCGGTCCCCCAGAAGCCGGCCCAGATGGTTCCCCTCCCTCGGCCGAAAGCAGGAGCGCGGGTTGGGGGCCACCATCACACAAACCGTGCCATCGAGTGGCTGCAGCCCGGAGAGGAGAAAGGAGGGGAAGGACAGAGACAAAAGGGTGAGGGAGGAGGAGAGAAAGGGGCGGGGGGCAAGTTACCTCTGCGTTAGCCCCCCTCACCCACAGCTTGTCCTGCCCGCTGGGAGGAAGCGGGGAGCCCGTGCTCCGGGCATGTGCCTTCCCGTCCCAGCGCAAGGCGGCCGCACACTGCCCCGGCTGCAGGGGGCTGCCCGCAGTCAGGCACGGAGCCCACAAACCACCCCCCCCGGCCCCTCGGACCGGCCATTACCTGGCAGGTAGACGTCTACGGGGGGGTCACTCTCCGACTGCGTCAGGCTCCTGCGCTCGCCGCAGCCGCCGTCCTGCAGGACGTCCTCGACGGAGGGCGGGCGGCTACCTAGAACCAGCCGAGAGCACAGCCCCTCAGGCCCCAGACCAGCTCTGCAGGGGCACGAGGCCAGGAGATCTTCCAGGTGAAGAAGCTCCCCGGGCCCCCCAGCCCCGCAGAGGTCTCGGGAGAGCCGGTCAAGCCGGCCCAGGTCACAGCACCGAAGGGCCAGCTCTGCTCACACACAGGCTCGTGCCCCAAAACGCACCCAGCGCTCCCCTCCCAACCCGTCCTCGTGCCTTCTGGACGCTGGCTGAGCACCAGAGTCCCATCGCAAAGCCGTGGGGCACATCCTGCGTGACCAGTACTGCAGCCACCCTCTCACCGGGACCGCACTGGTGCGCGCAGCCATCTCCCCGCCCCCCCCCCCCCCCCAAGCTGTGCCAAGGAGGCAGACCACAGCGCAGAGAGCTCTACGTGTGTAGAAAAAGCACAGCAGCTCAGAGATGGGATTTCAGGGGCTGGGGGTTTCTGAACTCGTTATGTCCATTCCCCAGCTGTTCCGTCCCAGCACAGCGGAGCGGGACACCAAGGTGAGGTCTGGGTGCCCCCACAGCTGAGTGCACTCACCCTGCTGCAGGGACGAGCCCTCCTCGATCTCTTCCCCTGCCACGCTCTGTAAGGAGGAACAGCACAGGTTACTTCTGCGGCCTGGAGGCCTTTGCTGAGCTTGTCTCCCACTCTGGCTTCTTTCAAAGAGCTGCACTCAGGGCCAGGACTGGACCCAGGGAGGGAGCAAGGGGGTACCCACCAGTGCTGTGGCACCACGGGCCGGGATGGAGGGGTTTTACAGGCAACGGCAGCAGTGGGTGCTGGAAGCCCAGCAAGGCCCAGGTCCCACCCCTGCCCCAAACACTGCCAGGCTTGCCCAGGATACCGGGGGAAGGTCTGCTCTGACTCCAGCCGAGGAGCTTTCCAATGCCCCAGCTCCCAAAGAGATGTTGAGGGCACAGGGAATGGCTCCATCCTTCACCATAGAGCCCTACAGGTAAATAAAGGCAGCCAAGACTGTTGGCTCCAGGCTACTCTTGTTAACAAGCTCATCTTTACCCTATCACTGAGGAAGCGGTGGCCCTTCAGAAGGCACCTCCTGTGTCCCAGAAGAAGCCTCCCAGAAAAGCTCTGGCTCAGAGCAGCTCTCCCAGCAGAGCCCAGACTTACTTCTGGAGAGCTGGTCTCCCTCAGGACCAGCTCACCCCCGCTCAGTGCCGGCTGTGAGTCAGAGTCCTCAGAGAGCTTCTCCTCATCCTCCTCGTGGATTGGGGACGAAGGAGACCGTAGTGTGCTGCAGCAAGAGAAACTGAATTTGCAGGGAGCCGCAGCACAGCCAGCACTGCAGGCCCCGGTGGATTCGGTGGCAGCAGCTCAAGTTTTCACCACCCCTGCCCTGTCCCTCCACCAGCAGCAAAAGCCAACACGCACGAGCAGGAGCTCAAACTGTTGAGCTAAGTTCACCAGGGCCCTCCAGAATCAGCTGCACTGAGAACGGCAGCAGCCGAGTTTCTGGGACAGAGCCAAGCGGTGCAGAGCTCCAGCACAGTAACGCAACTCAGACAGATCTGCCTTCGCATGGAAAGCAAGAGGCCCAGGTCCCACCCTGCTCCTCACGCCTCCAGGGCTCCCTTCCCAGGGAGAAATTTGGAATGGAGCACAGTGAGGAGTGCCAGGAACAAACCCAGTCTGATCCCACCTGTACGACCCTGCAAGGGACACGTGAAGGGCACCTGCCCACTCAACAGCGTCCACACTTATATCCTCCCTCAGAAGGCCAATAGAGGAGGCCTCAGACAACAACTGCAGGATCTCATTCAGCATTTTGTGCTCTGAAATTCAGGTCACTTCTCTCCCCATTCTTTTGCTCCTGGGGAACTCCATGGAAAGCTGAAATCCAACAAGGTTTGGATGTCAAATGCAAATTGAGGGGCCAACTGCATTGGAAAGGAGATATTTCCATCCAAAGTCTGGATCAAATTCTCCTTGTTAAAAATCCTCTTTCTTTTGGTGACAAAGCCAGCCCTTGGGAGACATAAGCGGGTGACCTCAGGTTGAACACAGGGGTGATGTCCCAATTCTCTCACTGGCACGAGTACCTGCTGGCCTCCTAAAGTTCTGAGTTAGCAGTGCTACCAGTGATGGGACCAGCCACAGCCCTCTCCTGGTTCCCAGTGTGCCTGGCCCCAGGCCCTCAGAGCTTGCAAGAGGAGTGGACCCCTCTGTCCCCATGCTGACCTATCTGGAGACTTGCTCCGCTTGCCCTTTTGGTGGCTGCTCTCCACAGCTCTGTCCATCCCAACAAGCGGTCGGCTCGCAGGTGGCATCCCATCCACCACACCAGAGTAGTTGATTTCGTCATACAGAGGAGCTGACGGGATGGAGGGGGAAACAGAGCGGAGGCCGTTCAGCGCTTCCAGCAAGGAAATGGGCTCGTAGCCCGGAGGGATGTTGTCAGAGCTCTGTGGGCGAGAGAGAGAGGGGCACATTAAGAAACCCTCTTCCAGGCTGGAAGCTCCCCTAGAAAAGGGAGACCCCGCTGTAACCCAGCCCTGCAGTTCCCACGCTGCGCTCCCAGGCAGCCCATCCCCACGGCCACCTCCCCAGAGAGGCTCAGCCTCCTTCCCCTGCAAGAGCCACACATCCCCCTTTGGGCTGTAACGCTGACGATACCCAGGCGAGTTTTCAGAGCAATGCTTGAGACACAGACTGGGCATCTCAGCAAGCTGGAACATGGCTGGGCACCCCCTCTGCCGTACTTTCAAGGGCAAGGAGAGCGAGAAGGCAGGTTCTTAACAAAGCAGCTACAAAGTACGTTTGGATTTTTTTCTCCTAGAAGTTCCTCCAATGGTTCAGAGGCCCCTCCAGCTCACTAAGCACCCCACTTGTGCTTCCAGCCCTGTTCCATGCAGCTGTTTCACAGCACTACCAGTGTTACTAAGAGAGAGTCAAAGGAGGGGAGTATGTGCGCACCAACTGAGAGCTGGTCCTCGGAGCCTACACCACTTCCACTTCTCCCATGGTCTCGGTCCTCTCAGATGCTAACGCTGGCTCTCTGCACAGTCACCTCTGCTAAAAGGTAGGAAAAGGATCCCAGAACCACTGACCCCGTAAGGGAGGAAGGCAAAACTGCACCAATTCCCAGTCCCTCTGTAACTCCCTAAGCTACCAGTCAAAGGGACCCTTTGCAAAGCCATTAAACCAACACTGTTTTAACTCCAAAAATCCTCCTGATCATAAAGATCCTGTGGATACAGAGACAAATGGGGTTTATACTGCAACCCAGTAGGCCACAGGCAGCTCAGTTCAGCCCAGCCCACTGCAAACAAAGAGGCAAGACTGCAGCAGTCCAGGCTTATATTAAATTGAGCTGTTTCAGCCCTGTATCCTCAGGGAGGTGGTTCTATCTTGTACCTAAGATGGTGTGTCATTGCAAAGCCTGGCCACGAACTCCTGTAGCTTCTCTGTGCCTCATCTCCCAATCGCACAGCTGCAGACGAGCCTGCCCAGCAACCTGTTCCAACACAGCCATCAATTTGGTGTGAGCTGATTGCTGAACTGACTCACCTGTGGTCACAGAAAGAGCTAGATCTGATGGGGAGGAAAGAACGAGTGGCACCTGGGGTCCAAGCATCAACTCACATGCCCTAAGTATTGGTCTTGTGATGGTTACGAGCTTGTGCTGAAGACCACAGCTGGTGATTGCAAGATAACCAAGTCAGCTGCAGAAGGAATCAGTTCACAGTTGCTGCCACCTGTAGGCAGTGGGGCCAAAAGCCGTCTCCACAAAAACATTTAATTTCCAGACAGCAGCTCAGAGGTGCTATTTTGCGGACAGAAAAGTCAGGGGGACAAAACTCCCTGGCTCATGCTCGGGACATTTTCTCCTGGCTGTGTAGATTAAGGCCTGAGGGTTCAAAGGCTGCTCATTTTGGTTCGCTGTGGTGAAAGCTCAGGTTCTGCGGCACAGCTCAGAGGCTGGAGGAGGATTTCTCAGCCAATGGCTACATTACCCTCGCTGCAAATTACTGAGCTTTCAAAAAGGCACTGCTCTCTCCTGGGACAGTTACCACTAGCAGGAGTACTACCAGTTGCTGCAGGAGGCTTGCAGAGAGCCAGGGTCATGCCAAGCTTGCAATAACCTCATTACCTGAACCCAGCCTCAGGTTTTCTCCAGAGCTGACGAGCACAACGAGCCACACTCCTTGTAAGGCTGAGCATCTAGGCTGGCTTGAGTAAAAGAAAACTGCAGCCTCCTTGATACCAATGACAGCTGTAGCTCCTTTTGATGGGAGTACACAAAGAGGGCACAAGCAGACCCTTCCTGGCCTGGGGGCCTCCCTCACCTTTCCCCTTGCCAGCTCCTGGTCCCCCATGATTGCCATTCATGCTGTCCCCAGCACAGCATTCCAGTCACACACTCTCACATCAACTCAGAGAGTCCTCAACAAAACAAGCTCCATCCTTCCTGTTTCTGTAAAAGCAAAACAGCCCACTGCAGCCAGTGTTCCTGACTGCAAGACCTGGTCCAACTGTGCCTAATTGTCTACCTCTACATCCCAGCACAAGGGTGAAAACCACAACAAGATGTGCCCATGCCAAACTGCCAAGGCGATGAGACAAGTGCAAGGAAGCTTCTGGGTGAGCCAAGGGGACAGCAGCTTGCCCACAGTCCTACAAATCTACAAAAACACCTTGGCCAGCAACTATAAAGCTGGCAGGTTCAGGCCCTGGGGACAGCCCCTGAGAGTCAGTGTCAGACCCCTGTGGCAAGCTGCTTCCATTTTCCTTGTTCCTCCACACACAGACCAGGAAGGTAAGTGATTGTCCGTGCAGGGTGGGAGTGTCTCACCACTAATGTGGAGGCAGTACGTGGAGTGTCGCAGCCTGTGCAGGGGCACAAGTCAAGCCCAGCGTGTTAGCAAGCCCTCACATGTGTAACACTTCCACGTGCTAGTGACACCGCTGGCAAAGAACAGCCGTAGGAGCAAATACAACCAAGTCCACTTACTGTTTCTCTTTTAGGTTTCCTGCTGGGTAGGGAGACAGTGGTCACTTTAAGGGGTTTAAAGGGACACTGTCAAGAGAAAACCATGGTTTAAAGAAGTTGTTTCTTGAGGTTAGTGACATGAAGAGACACACACCATCTCCTCACCTCGCTCCAGGTGACAGCACCTGCTTCCTCTACACACCACGCTCTGCTCCACAACAACCCTCGGGGTTTCTCCCCTGCCCTATGTCTTAGCCCCAGGTGAAGGCAGCAGAGCTACAATGCTGCAGAAGATAGAAGGATAAAAGCAGGCTTTTTCTGTGACGATATCTTTCTGTTCCATGAAAGTCTGTAAGATGACCTAGATGCGGATCTCTCTCGCCTCACCCTGATCTCATGTGTCTCACTGGAGCCAGCTGTGCAACAGCACTGCTCAGGCAGTGAGCTGCTGCCCTCACCGCATCGGTGACGTGTGACCAGGCCCCGAGGCCACCAGCACCACACTTTCCATCCCACGCTTCCTCAGCTGCCTGCCGAGACCCTGATTGCTCAGGAAGGCTGGCACAAAGAGGCCTTTCTGCCACCATGCTGGGAACCCCGATGCCAAGGGCATTTCATCAGATCGCGCTGCCACACAGATGTGCCTGCAAGTCAAACTGTTACCCACCCGCCCCATTTTTCCCAACTCCCACCCTGTCATGCCCAGAGTCTGCCACTTTTCCGCTGGGACAGGTCCTGAGAAACCAGACTGAGGTTTCTGTGGATTTGTTTCCTCCAAAAGTCAGGAGGACACTTGGCTAAAACCAGTTGTATTACTAATACACAAGAGGAGAGATCCTGGTTGTCTAGTGGGGTTGGCAAGAGAGGCTGCACTGCTCAGGAAGACCTTGCTTGCTCCAAGGCCTGAGTGCACCTCCTGAGGTTGGAGGGACACCAGCCATCAGGCTGAGCAACCCGTGCATGCACAGGCTGCCTGCTCCAGCTGAGCCCAGCGCCCAGGCTCTGTACATGGGGTTGCAAGGTACTTACAGAGTGCTCGTCATGGTCAACACTCTGTGCCAAGACAGGGCTGAACGACACCGGCGACAGAGCCCCCGGCTTCTTCCTCACGGCCCGGATCTGCAGCAGGGCACGGAAGGCTAGGAAAGAACAGCAGGCAGGTGACCGCATGGCCAAGCGGGACGAGGCCATGCCAGAGCTCCTCAGCTTGCCACAGACACACCGTTGGCATGGGGGAGCTCCCTGTGTGCATGGGGAGCGGGGCCGTGGAGGAGCACACCAAAGCCAAGCGCTGTGATCTGGCTTCTAGTCAACTGACCTAGACAGGGAAGAGATCTGCTAGCCAAAAACCTCTGGGTACATGCAGCCCTTGCGGAGAACTGGCACTGCCTGCCCCACTACAGTCACCTATAGAGGTGCTTCAGGCCTGATACCGTACAACACCGCAAGAAAAACATACGGTGCACTGCCCAAGGCTGAGCTCAAGCTACAGGATTGGGCAGGGTGGGGAGGGCTTATGAAAAACCACTCTGGGTTCATTCAGACCCCATGAGTCTCAGCGCTGGGGTCCAGCTGGTGCTGGAAGCATCGTGCCTGCCATCGGCTGCTCACCACCAGCCAGTGCTACGGTGGTGAGAGGCTCTGCAATAGCTGCGAACCCAGCCAGAGGGTTAGTGGCTATACTCCTGTCTTCAGCACAGCCATCCCTTGGTCCTCCCACCACAACAGCTTTGATCTCCACTCCCTGCCCACAGTCCCACTTTCTATCTGCAGATCTTTAATACTGTTAGTTACTCTGTGCCAAGGGCACATATGAATGAGCCAGACATCTGTTCTGACGCAGCTGTAACAACTTGCTTGTACATAAAGAAAAGCCCAGGCACCTCCCTAGTTCTTGTTGCACCGAGCCGCCTGCAAGATCAGCCTAGAGCCAGAGGACAGAGGTGCAAATCTATCCTTGCTGCCTCTGCACTCCCCAGGAGCAGATTCCCAGGAAGTCTGACACAGGGGCACTTTCCAAACAAATACAACCTACTCCGCTACAGCAGGCAGATGAGATAATGCTGTTCCTGTGTTTTAAGTGCAACTTATGGTCAAAGCTGTCTGGCATTTCCTCTGACAAGAGGTTTTGGTTACTGCATCTTTGCCAAATTTGAACTGTTTAGACTTCATTTCTCAGGCCAAACATCTGTCTTAGGCTCTTTTTTCTTTTCCTGAGAAGTATCAGTTAGAAATGATCAAATACCTGAGAGATCGAGCACAGGGTAAAACACATGATCTGTCTATTCCAGCAAAAATGCAGGCATTTTCATCAGAGACTTTTATGCCTCTGTGCTTTTGAGAAAAGACGTGGAATTCAGCAAGTGTTGCCTGAGCATCAGAACGGATATTTCATTTTTTCCATCTTTTGGGAGCTGAGCAATGCAGGGGTTAAGCAGATCCTCCTAACTCTCCTGGCAAAGCAAAGGGCTCCAAATTGACTGTTATCTCATCTCTGCCTCCCAGGTGAAGTCAAAATAAGTTTGTCAGAGGGAAAAAAAATTCATGCAAAGTACTTGGACAGACCTCTGGTGGGGCTGGCTGCTGTCTCGGCCACATACTCTCAGGATAAAGCTTCTACATCCCCTCCTTTGGGGGATATTCCATCATCTACACCAAAACACAAGAACTGCCTACACTGCGCAGCTCAGAGCACCTGCACCTTCACATCCATCCCAGGGAGAGGGCAAGTGACGAGGGAGGCACTGGACAAAGGGCCATTCTCCCATGTGCTCTCCTCCTTCCCTGTTCAAGGACAGTTATTTTAGGTGCTAGGAATCTCCAGATGCCAGTGTGAGCAGCAGCATGTTCGATGCTGAGCCTTGGGGTGGGCTAGATAAAATACATGCTCCCTCTCAGAGCCTGTACTGAACTTAACAGGAGCTTAGGAGGGAGAAAGATGCCCTTGTTTCCTGGGCACATACTCACGCAGCCTGCAGATGGGGCAGTTGTTGGCCTGGTAGCGCAGGGTGTCGGCACAGGAATTGCACAGACAGAGGTGTCTGCAGGGCAGAATGAGGGTGTCACGGAGGTCAGACAGGCAAACCACACACTCATTGCTGTTGTCGCTGTTCTCATCATCTGAGGGCTGCAATGAGAGACAAGACGTTGGCATGTGAATGGTAAGGGCCACGCCGAACTGCCAAGGGACTCTGAAGCCTGGGGAAATTTCCCACCTAAAAGTCTTTGAGGGAGCTGGCATCTTTTCTCAGCTGTCAGCAGGAGTTTCTCAAGCAGAGCAAGCTCCAGCCCACACAGCCCTGCTACGGACACTCCTTCCTCTCGGGGCTCTGCTCTGAGCTCACTAAAGGCCAGAGGCCAGAGCACCATCCCGTGAATTCATGGCATAGCTGTTCTTCCCCAGAGCTAGGCTGTGTGCAGGGGGGAGCCCCCCCTGGCTGAGGGGGACCAAGAACAAGCTCCTGCCTGCCAGCCTGGTGGCTCCCAGGTCAGCAGGGAAGCAGGGTCTTTGGCAGCCCAGCCTTTCTGCCTCAAAAGGAGCTACTTGCTGACTGTGGCAGGCAGCAGGTCAAGCTGCTCCCAGGCTGGACAGAAGGAGGCACTCCAGCCATGTCTAGTCCAGTTTCCACAGGTCCTCTGAACAAGTGATGGAGGAAACTTTGATGCAGCTACAAGAGAACCAGCCTGGGACGCTCAGCCGCTCACAGCTACCCTGGTAAAAAGGTTGGTGTGAACCCACTCAACGTGAACGTGCATCACATTAGTCTTTCAGTCACTCAGAGCCCCACAGCCTTGGGATTACAGACACCAAGCAAGCTGTTGCTGGGAGGAGAAACCCACCCTCCAACCACAAGAGCTCTCTTCACTGATACCAGAGAACCCCACAGTCTCCCCACCAACGCCACAGAAGTTATGCCTGAGCCCACCAGACTGGTGACCCAGCATGGGCCACACTCCACCTTCGTCAGATCCCACTTCATGATGCTCCCCACGGTCACCAGGGCTAACACATACTAGATCACGGGCAACTTTGGTGTAAACAGCAATATACAGCATCCGCTGCTGCCACATCCAATCCAGCCTCCTGACTATGGGGCTGCAATCCTGTCTGCCTCGTCACGTGCACTCCTCATCTATTTTGGGAGGTAGAGAGGGGAGACTTTTTGCTTTCACATTCATATTGTTTTCTAAGTATACTAGGAAAAACAAAAATGGCCACAGGCCACTTGTCTGGTGGGCCACAAACATGTGATTGCTGGATCAAGGGAATCATCACGAGATCCTGGAGGACCCAAACAGAAACCTTCAATCCTCTTAAAGAGATCCTGTGCAAGAAAAATCTTTGGAAAGACTTCTCCCTCTTCCCTCTTCAGGTGCTACCTGTTGGCACAGGCAGATAGAGATCACAGGATGCTTTGGGCAGGACACTGCATTGCTTGGAGAAGAAATCCTGCTTCTCTTGCTCTGTGGCTACTTCTCTGTTTGCAAATCAGGCACTACGCATGCTAGAGAGGTCTGATCCTGAGGCCAGCACTTGGCACACTGCAGCCCAGGTGGCAGCAAAGGGCAGCTCTACATAAGACTAAAGCAAGACTAAAGCAGTCATGTAATCTGCATGAAGCTGTGCAGCAAGCTGGGATTCAGTAGAAGCTCCTGCCTAAAGATGGGCAATGTTTCTGGTTACAGCATCTGCAGATACATCCCTTAGTGATGCTGTCCTCCCTCTTCCTGGGGAATGCAGGCTGCTCTTCAGGCAAGCCCCAGAGAGCTCAGCTCCCTGCTACATGAACATGCAGGCTCCCCCCTTAACAGGAGAACATGAAGGAGCCACAGAAGCAAAGCTCAGACACAAGGCACGACTACTTTGACTGCAGAGATGCTCTAGAAGCCCTAAAAATCAGTGCTTTGAAACACCCACAGGGCACTAGTATGCCCTTTCTCTCGCAGCAATTGCAGCCCCAGGGAACATCTTCAGGAGTCTCATGCTATCTAAAATGATCTCAGCACAGCTCCACTGACTGTTTGGGCCTTACAACACTGAAGACCTGTCATCCCTGGGCTTCTTCAGTGCCTACAGGAATGACACAGACTTGACAGTCATTCTGGCAAGCACCTCCACGTTGTTCTGCCAAGCCCCATAGTTAAGCTCAAAAGCAGAAGGTACAGGCTAGAAACCCACAGCTCAGGCAGCAGGAGCCTCATCAGCACCTTTACCTTGGTCTCTTGGTTGTTTTTATTCTCGATGCCATAGATCTCCTGAAGCAGATAGCTCACCCGGTCAACCTAGGGAAAAAGACAACAGTCAGAGTGCCAGCTGCTCTGTCATTGATGTTTTATGATCACCTCCCCTCCCCGTGTTAAAATGTCCATGTTACACCCACAAAAGCCAGCTCCACTATAGCTACATAAAAGAGTTCCCAGAAACAAATATCACAAAGGATAGCTGGGAGAATGAGTCTCCTTGCTCAGAAAGTGGTGCCCCTGTCTGGTCTGAGCAGGGAGCCCAACCGGACACTTTGGTCACTATCAAAATCATCTAAAACCCAAGTACTCTGATTGTCTCAGAGATCAAGAGGGAACGTGCACCCACAGCTCAAATAAGCCAGAGGCAATGAGCCTTCCACAGTCTTCTCCTTCTGTGAAGTACGGCTTAACTTTAACCATGATGAAATTCCACCCATTTTTGTAACCTCAGTAGAGGTGCTCTGCCAACAGCTTGTCACTGGCACATCAGTGGCTGCACATTACTTCCCTGTTCATCACCTGGGAGCATAAGGTCAAGCTACGGAAGACAGACAAACCATCTCCCTTAGCATGAGAAGCACCTGAGGGACAACCCTACATTAGTGCAATGTCATTTATTACCATCCCCAGGCCCTTGGCAGCATCTCTAAATTGGGGTGTATGGTGGCAGAAAGTGCTCAAGGCACAGGTGGAAACTGCTTATAGCCTCAAACCTGGGACGAATTCCTCCAAGCCATGCCTTTATGCAAATGCTGGCAGCTGCTTGCAAACTCCCTCGAGCAGCTGAATTAAACCACTGAGGCAAGTAAGAGTGATGGTTCAAGTCCCAGCAAGGCAAGCCCCCCCTGCCCTGTGGGGTGTTTGCCCCTGTTCCCTAGCTTAGCCAGCAAGTACAGCACAAGAACCCTTACAGCTGTGAGAAGCAGCCTCTACAAGGATGCACAAAGATACCAGTCCCCCAAGATTTGGTGCTACACAGCAGCTTCCCCAGAGCAGGGTGTGTTCCTCTGAATAAAATCCCGCCACAGGTAAAACGGCGAAGGGGTTGCAAGGTATCAAACTGACACATCTCGCATACAGGGGAAGGAAACGCTTTCCTGCCATCTCCAGTAACACCATACAGCGAAGCGAAGCCACCAAGACCCCAGTGCTTCAGCAGTTCATCAATTCCAGGGCTTTTGGCATTTCCATGTGTAACTGGCCTCTTTCCTCTCCTTTTGTCAAGCCAGGTGCTCAGAAGAGAAGTGGCTTTGCCATGGGATTTCAGTGCTGCAGAAGACGTCACATGTCAAGATGCAGGCAGGAGCTAGCTATATCCAGCCCATTTCCCAGTTCAGAAATGCTCTGAGCTGGAACGCAGCAGCTTTAACAAACTAATTCCAGAGTCTCCCCGTTTAACTCGGCATGCAGCTTACAGACAATCTGTTCTAGGCCTGCATTTCATGGCAATGAGGTCAGCTATTGGATTGCTGAGCAAAAAATCCTCTGCAGCGGCTCACAACTCACCCAGAAAGTTTGGGAACAATTATGTGGGAGATGTCCTTTTGTAACCTTACATTTCAAAGAGAGTCTTGTTACAGCATCCCGACTCTTCAGAGGATCATGATGAGCGACAGTGAGTGCAGAAGTGGACAGCTCAAAACAAAGAAGAGATCAGGAAGGAAGAGACCAAAGCCTCTGCAGGTGTCTGCGTTCGTTTTAACTGCTTGCCTCTCAAAACCCTGAGAAGCTCAGGTCCCAGTAGGAAAAGGGTGAGCAGTGCAACACGGCACTTATTAGAAAGATCTCTAGGTTTCAAAGAGCAGGAGTACCAAAGAAGTAGGTAATTGTACACAATGCAGTCCTTCACCATCACGCTTCTCCTACCCATCCCGCACCACCCAATCCTTCCAAAGGCTTCTGTGGCTATATACAGCCTCAGCTGATGCACACAGGAGCCACCAGCCAAGTCCAGGTCATGTTTTTCTACTGATCCATCTGCTTGTATTCATCCATGCTGAATTTCTTTAAACAGCTTGGTACACATATTATAACTGATCTCAGCTGAGAGAACAAAGCAGTTCAGCTCATTAGCTGCTGCTTCCTGCTCCCAAAGAGCTTTAGAGATCGATGCGCACAAAAGGTACCCGGCAATCCTGGCAATGGCAAGGAGGGGAAGGCAAAAGAAAAGCAGTGATGGGGAAGAATGTACAATGTGAGACAGATGGTTTACTCCAGACATACACTCTATACCTCTGCTCTATGCTCTTATGGGTGCAGATGCTATCTCAGTTTCAGTGGTACTGCGTGTTCTTCTAGCAAGAGCTTCCTTCTATTTTAAAAGCCATAGGAGAGAACATAAAAGCGTTACATTTTACAAACTGCCAATAAAAAAAAAAAAAAACCCTACCCACAACCAAACACTGAGTGGGAAGGTTACACGCTCTGCCAGTAAAGACAGACAAGCACACACTGTTTCACTGCAGGAGTCTGCTAACCATACTGTGGTAGGGTGGGAACGTCCCTGGAGAGCACTTCCAGCAAGACAGCCCTCCATTTGGGGAGTCCGGAGCGCTAAATGGAGGATGGTACACACACTGCACTGGTGTGTACAGTAACTCAACACCAACTCAGAGTTCACCGTTTTTTTTTTTTTTAAAAAAGTGTTGTTTTTTGTTGTTTTGTTTTGTTTTAAAAAAAAGCAGTTGTTTTTAAAAAGTAATAATTAAAAAAAATTCCCCCCAAAACCCACAAGCAAGACAAATGAGCAGCTTTTCATCAGCTCACAAATGCTCTTCTCTGATCAGAAGAATATGTGAGAAAGAGGCACCAGTGGCATCACACTGCTCGCTCTGGCAGCCTCTTCCAGCACAGCACACAAGCTCACCCCTTCAGAGGCATGTTCCCACTACAAACCTGCCTTCACACAACTCGATAGACGCCCTTCCGAAACAGTCTCTGCCTCTATCAAAAATACTTGTGGGACCCAGATCAATCAGCTGGCCAGGAGATCATGCTGCAATACAGCCAAGTGAAGCACCAAGGAAGGGAGGGGGAGAGCAGGTCAGTCTGGGACATGCAGGGCTCAAAACACACGTCAGGCTGGGGCAGCAAGTAACTCACCACCAGCACCAGGATAAAGCTCTGGCAGTAAGGGCTAATATTGCTCAGTAGGCATGAGCAAGTCTGAAGGACAAGCCGTGAGTGTCTGCACAGCACAGGTGAAGCGGATAGTGAATTACTGAATGCAGTTTTGATATACCATTAACTGACACTGTTTAGTGGCTCTTTTCTGACCTGGGGACTGGAAGGAACGTCATTACAAGCAAGAAGTGTCTAATCAAGGCATTTAATGATCTTCTTGGTAGTAACAGGCTTTTAAATTCAGATCAGAAAACCCTAGCTATCAATCGTGAGCAGCTGAAGTCACTTTCAAAGCAGAAACACAACACAAACCTAAAAGTGAAGCGATCGACCACCAAAATGTCATCTCTTTCTCCAAGACATTTCAAGCTGATCCTTGAAGCAGGATCACTGCCACATTTTCTTTCAGAAGCTGAAATCCTTGGCAATCTTAGCAGTTTGCAGTTGCTTATGTATTTCTCTATTTGCAAGACTGGCTGCAATTTCAGTCTTGACAAGGCACTACACAGCTTCTGTGCATCACACCACACCAGGATGGGGTAAAAGGGGTACAGATCCCTGATGTTTCCCTGTTTGCTCATCTCCCTTCTTTCCTTCCCTTCGTAACATGTGTAGTCTGGTACATAAACAACAGCTTCAAAGCAAGACCATGTTTGTGACTGCTCAAGTACCAAAATACTCACAGGGGACAGGCAAGATGAGCCAAAAGGTCTCAGTCCCTGTGGCTACTCCAAAGACACCATGGGCACAAGGAAGCTTGTGCAGGGAGATGATGATTCCCTAGTATCTTAACACACACACACACAGAGCTAACAGTTTTCAGCCTCCAGGTAGGACACTGGGAGTCTGCAAAGATATCCTTCCACACCAGAAAACACAGAACGCAAGGAGATTAGGCAGTGTCAATGAACAGATGTGCTTCACACTACTTAACACATACAGCACTTAAGCTTATTTATGCAAACCTAATTTATTTACACCTATACAGACATGGAAGCATCAGTACTGCACCTTGCCAGTTTTGTATTCAAGTGCCAAATGTCAGCTAGGCAGGAATGTATAGGAAAGACTGGATCTATACAGAGGAGCAGAGACCTGCACCGTTGCTCTGCCAATCCCACGCTGCCATATTTGTTCCCCCAACCCACATCTGGCTGTGCAACAACCAACGCAATGTCAAGGGCTGCCAGCAGCTCACTGCCTTTACTTGTGATATCTGAGCTAACAAGGTGAGAGTGAGTGAACTAACACCAAAGCTTCCCACGGGGCACAGTCGGGCACCTGGGGGACACCAGCAAATGTCTTTAATCAAGCAGTAAACAGGAAACACAGTACTTACAATCTGCTTCTGTTTTAATGGCTTCACGGAAAAACTGCCATCAACATGCTAGCAGGAAAAAAAAGAAATTCATTAAATAGCTGAAATGTACAATTAAAACAGAGTCATGATCAGAGTTGGTGTCTGCTAGCTACGGAGTGGGTGGCATATGTAAAACCAGGACAGCATGAATAACAATCATTCCCAGCAGAGTTAGTGGAACAGGGTATCGGAGTGCTCCTCGTCTGCTCCAGTGCAGAGCCAGACCGACTTGGCTCAAGTTAAACCTGGCTGAAGTGGGTTCGGAGCCCACACAAAAATCCCCTGGCACACCGGATGCTGTGTGGCAGCACGCACCGCTAGAAGTTTTCTACATACCTGGTGTCAGAACTACTAACAGGAATAGCATGTTTATATCTATTTTCTCCATCATCCAGAAGGGCCAACTAAACTGAAAGAAGCAGGCCCTGCTGCTGTGAACAGTTGCAGATGTGCATCTGTTTGCTGCAGGAGTTTCAGAAGGTACAGACAACAACATTGCACCAGAAGACAGACCAGTCCTATTTGCCAAGCAAATGCAAAGTGCCAAGTTTCTACCTTTGGAAGAGCTGCAAGGCCAGACTACACGTAGCATCAAGGTTACTATTCTGCCTTAGAGATACATATAAATAGCAAGTTGCCAAGGCCTGCTGGTCTGTCTGTCCTCTGAGCGTGCTGTGATGATCAGCAGCAGTGCGTATTACCAAGGACCTCCCCTGGATTTATGGGCCTACACTTCAAAAGCTGCAATTATTCTAAGGATAGGGAATACATTTTAATCAAACAGCGAGCAGAAAGAACTCAGCAAGCACTTTGTCCTGTGACTTCTTATTAAAAAAATAAGATTTTAATCTTGTTTAAGCATTCACTGGAAGATGAGACGTAAGATGTGGCCCCACCAGACAGCATCTCCCTCTCACCAATCCTTGAGCTCAGACCTGGACATGGGACATAATCCAACATTGATGGAATGGTCTGACCAGCTTTAGTTGACTCCCAGTTTTGCTGCATACCTTGTTCAGCTGTCTGAACATTATGGGAGCTTCTGCCATCACCTTTGTGCATCTAGACAGCTCAGAGGTTCTGCGTAGTAGATGGAATTTACCTACAATGCTTGAAATCCTGCTTCCAAAGCTGGAGCAGTTCAAGCCACTTTCCAACCTCATGCAAGAGAAATTTCCAAAGCTTCACTTCTGCCCTCATGCTAATACATTCCCAATATGTGTGTACTTTCCTACTTTCTATAAAGTGCTGGCCATAGATTGCTAGAACAGGAAGCTGGGACAAATCCAGCTGCAAGTGAGAGCTCTGCTCCCTGATCACAGAGGCTGGGCTTACTGCAACAGCACTATGTTCAGATACTTGGAAAACAGCAACTAGACACATTGGTTTGTATGTAAAAATCATATTCACATCATCAGATCCAAAGCCTAATCTGACCCTGGCTACAACCAAAAAGCTATGAAGGCAATAGCCAGGGGGGCACAGATCAGGAAGGCAAACGTGTGTAAAATACTTCAAAATCAGGCTGTAACATGCAGAAAGCTGGTGGCCTCATCTATTTTTCTCTCCTCAGAAATGGCTGAACAACCATTCTGCAAGGCTAGTGGGTCTCCACCTACAGTACTCTCCCATCAAGATGACAGATGGGCTCCAAACACTATATCCTTCCCCAAGGACCCGCTGCCCACCTTGTCCTCTCTCCCAGGTGCTGCTGAACAATGACTGAGGGATTCCAGCGTGTTTCATTTTTCCAGATCAGCCGGAGGACAAAACTAGAAGAATAACATCCCTGCCCTAGTCCCACGGGTGCTGCAGCTGCCCATCTCATTTCTGACAAATCTCTAGTTGCCAGGAATAAAATTACCTGCAGAGCCAGTGCTCAGAGCAGCCTTTCTAACACAGGAAAATTAATTTTCTTCACACACGAAGTCTAACAAAAAAGCAACCTAGAACACTTTGAGCACCTTCCAGCCACAGGGCTTTTTTAGGACTGATTGTGCTTCCTCCCATGCCCTCTGACTCAGCTCGTCACCATCCACATTATCCACCTAGGAGGAACAGAATAAGACCTGGCAACATGCTCAGGGATACGGCAGGAACCGAGCAGATTGAGAAACAGAAGTCAGCCACATGCCAGCCTGGAAGTGGGGAATTTCTAACAGCACAGCATTGATGCTGCTCCCCTCTACATGCCCAGCTCTGCTTCAGCATCTCTTACCTCATCTTAGCATGTCACTACAAGTATCACTTGCCCAGGTTATGTGTCTGCAGTATTACCACAACCAGACACAACACGGTGCAGTTATGGATCTTGCAACCATTTTCAGTGTCATGGGAAGAGATTTGGTGATCAAGGCTTGTGCATACAGCTTGGCTTAGCCTTACCACATAGGCAGTGGTCAGCTACATCAAACATGCCACCGAAAAGCAGTGAAGCTCCAAGTCTTTATGCAGGATGTATCCTAATTCTTTAAAAGGGCTTGGTCCTACGTGTAAACTAAGGCCAAACAATGGTGCAGCAGGGTCTGGACACAGCAGATCCGGTTCTGCAAAGAGATCACGAGGCACTGGAAAACTGCACCATAGCAGCCATGGTCAACACCTTCCACCCTGAAACATCACAGCCACTGAGGCATGCCCTCTCCTCACATACAGGAAACACCAGCTACAATTAGCTGAGTGACCAGCTCAGGTACAAATGATAATTACAGGCTATACAGGAGCTGCTGCAAGCAATTATTTGTACTACAACGGCACTCAGGAACCCCAGTCATGGGCCAGGACTCCATTGTGCTAAGTGTTACATAAATACAAACTAATGGCCCATGGAAACATTATATATACAAGGACATGAGGAAAAAAGAACTAACTTACCTTTTCAAATGCAGCCAGAAGAACATGGGCATGACCCGTCACTTCAACCACCACTGCAAGAAGAGAAAGCAGTCCTTGTCAAACCTTGAAAACAGTGCAAGCATATATCTACCCTGAGCTGAATGTGAGTCCATTCACAATTTCTAAGCTGTCATCTGTTCTATTTTCATCTCCTATTGCAATTTAAAGCTTTTCTTCTTGTCAGGTTGGTTCATCTCACACTCTTGCAGAACAAGAACAAAACCCTGCTGAGCTCTGTGGTGGGCCTTACACAGACACGCCTTCGTTATCTTGGGTGCTCCAAACTATCCCACTTTGTTTTCAGAGGTTGGAAAGGGAAAGTAAAACAAAGTGCTCAGTGGGATTCTGCTCTCCCCTCAAATTTCTGGTTTTAATTACCTGAATTTATCACAGAGATTAATCAGTTCATCTGGTTTAATAGCAACTGGCAGCACTTCCAGCCCTGGTACTTAGCTCTTTATTTCACTCTAATCCAACATGCTTATAGAACATTTATTTCTTATACCAATTTTGGACACCAAAACATCTCTGTCCAGTTCTCTGATTTTTTTCCCCAAAGACAAGTATCAAGTCTTCCCTCTTCCAAACTCAAGGCTTCCCTCTTATCCAACAGCATTGAGAAGGGGCTGTCAGAGGTTTCTGTACTGCATTCATGACTCCCTCAGCAAATACAGAATAGAGGAAGCTGAGGTACAATCCCAGTCTCTCTGGATCAAGACTAAGGTACTGCTCAGCTCCAACTGGTTGGACCCTTTTGCTTAATTGTGTTCAGACTCATCATATGGAAACGGAGGTCGCGGAGGAGTCACTGAGGGAAGGGAAGGTGTGTAACCACCTTGCCATGCCTGGACTGATGAGTATCTGTGCTGTGCTCAGCACACGCAGAAAAGCTGGCAGACACTGCTATCACCTCTGTGCCTGAAAGTCAGCAGTTGGAGGAAGCAAGTCCTGTGTTGTCTAAAGGGGAGAGGAACTCAACAGCTTCCCCTGGGCCCCCAGAATAGCCGAGACAACATGAGGAACCATTCGCTGGACTATGGCACAGTTTGGAAACAGTATGTGGGAGAAGAGAGTCTATGCCTGCAGACCTGCTGGGTAACTGAGATTGGTCATGGCAATTTGGGTGCAATCAGGAACACAATGGCATGCAGAACAGAGGGCTCAAACTGGGAATTCATCTGCTTGCTCCCCCCACTGCCAGCCAAGAGCAAAGCTGTTCTAACTCACTCGGTAAATGAAATTCAGGTCCCTCCCTGCAGTCCGAGTAGCCAAGTAAGAGATAACAGGCATCGCTTCCCTTCATACCCTCTGTGGCATTGTGTGGCTGGAGCAGTGCAACCTGTTCTGTGCAGCACCTCCCCTCCCCAAAGGGTTTCTGTACCTTCCCCTGAGAGCAATCCCGCTGGCAGGAATGGGAGAGGGCTAACACTGCAAGCTCACATTCTTCAAGGCACACAAACATCTCCTGGCAGAAATCAGTCCAAACCAACATCTTGCTGACTGCTATTTTAATTTGCCATTCAATTTTACTTAACACAAGCACTTACAGGCCAGCTGTAATTTTCCAGGTGCTCCAAACATACAAGACCAGCTCCTTCCAGTCCCATCAGTTAAAAAAGAACCAAAATACAGAACAATTTCCTCAAATCTTACTCAAGTGTCACATACGTTTGTGCTGATATTCTTTCCAGGAGAGAATTTAAAAGCAATTGCCTTTCCAGGTTATTAAAATAGATGACAGCACCCTATTGGCTAAGACTGGGCACGGTATGTGCATAAATGTATGCTTCCCATGCTGCCTCCTGTTCTATTTTTGGTCCTTCTAGGCATGCCCAACATTAGAAAGTACAAATACCTTGCCAAAAGCTCCATAAACAGAGGAAGGTGTTTTATATTTATGGTCAAGAAATATACATATATGTCAAATCTGTGAACAGTGCCTGAAATCACTAGAAATAGATGCACTTTACAAGTAATTTCCTTTGTGTTGAACTGTGCTTTGTTAGTCACACTTTAAATTGGTTCATCCAGTCCTATTTCACTCTGCTTGGAGGACTGTAAAATAATGCAATGAGTTTCAGGGCACTTTCACATTTACAACACCAAAAACTGAGCAAGTGACTACACTAAACAATGCAATCAACGATGGATTTTCTTCTAATTATTCCTAAATTTTGTACAAAACATTACAAAATGCAGAAGTGAAATGCTGGTCCTACTGACCACAACAACACCCAATTTTCGAGAAAATGTGACTTCCTTGCACCCTTCTCATTGCTGACACTCAGCTTGAGTGCAAACACAGACAGCTCAAAAGCACATAACCTCTAAGGAAAATAGTGTGCAAGGTAAGTAACAATCTAAACATTTACAGGACTTCCCTCCCCAAAATGGCACTGTGCCTTAAAAATAATCAACAATATTCTTTCTCATCAAAGGTTATGCTCTTTTATTGTAACCATTCAGCACCTTTCACAAAAAGCAGAATTTTAAACTACTGAATGAAGCTGTATTTGGTGGAACAGTGGCCTGAGCATTTTAAAGCCATTTCTTTTTCTGTGACCATTCCTAGGGAAGGCCCACCCTACAGTTAGCAATAGCTTTATGAAGACAACTTACCCCTTAAAGAGGGGGAAAAGACCAACTCCCTCCTTGCCTTACAAACTGCAAATGCAAAAACCAAAGAGAAAGGAAGTAATTTGCTCCAATTTGTGCCTGGCATTGGTGGCAGAGCCAGGAGCTTTCCCAAACATTATTCTAACACTAAACACCTGGCCATTTTTCCTGTAAAAAATGGCAGCTATTTTTAAAAGCATGTTTTTATGTAAGAACCTGTGGTTAGCTGAGCCCTTTTAATACAGGGAAGTTAAGGTGAACTCCGGAAATATTTTTATTCTGGAAAGGCTCCCCAAGCCTTTGCTACAAGTAAAATGTTTTCATCATTGCAGAAGGAGGCCTGCCTTGAAGGAGTCACATAACCTCAGAGAGAGCTAGAAGATGACCAAGGGAATACACCACCATGCTTACCATCCCCTTCATCCACCACCGCTCGGATGACCACAGGAAACACGCCACGATCCAAATCAAAGTTCAGCTGAGGGAAAGAAATGAGATGAGGTTAGACAATTCATGCCAGGCTTGCCTGAAGACAACACTCAAGTTAGCATTAACATCAGAGGAATGAAGGCCTCTTCAGACAGGCCCCCAGTCCCTGGTCTCAAAAGGACATGACAGAGCAGGAGGATTTAAAATTCAGGCACCAACTTTAAAAGGGAGTCAACCCGAATAACTACAATATATATACACTGAAATAGCACTAAACACCAGTCGTGGCTAGCAAAGCAAAAGATCTCCATTTAAATTTTATATAGTATTTAATTCTCACTACTTCGTATAGCCTAAAAGCCTCCTGAGTGGTTTGTAGTAGGACAAGTTTCTCAAAATCTATCTAGTGCCATAGTTTTGCTTGAGTATGGTAGGATATACTGGTTACAGCCCAACAGTATGCATTATGCTCCCTACACCACAAAAGACACCCTGGCTCTTGAAGACATAGAGAAAAATCTGTAAAACTTCTAGCTCACACAACACATTAAGAAAACACCAGACTGATTTAATCTCTTGGCATGTTATGGAATCCAGATCCTTGACCTTATAGTTGGTGAGAGTGAAAACTGTAAGACTTCACTTGAGTGCAAGGAAAACAGACTCGATTTCTTCCTTTGCCCTGCATTTAATTAAAGCACTTCAAATGCTCCATGTCATCTTACAAACACAAGAAAAACGCAAACTTACAAACACTGCCCTATGCCAGGAACGGAAGTGGCTCAGAGACTGGATTTCTGGTGCTTTTTGTCAATTACTGACTTGGGGTTTTTTGTCTCATCTCTTGCCAAGAGAGAAAAAGATGTCATTTCACCATGGTGCTCCAGATAGTCTGTTTTCAGTTTTCCAGTGGAAACTGAGACCCAATTCAAAGTGCTGCAGCACCATTCAGGTAGTGCTTCAGGGCTTCTCTCACTTTTCCACAGCCCTGACATCATTTGCAGCATGATTTTCTCCAGCTGGTCCCTCAAAAGATAAACTATCAAGATAGCCATCGGCACTGGCACAAATGGCAACCCAAAACACCCAGACTGGGGGGAAGGTGACTCTCACCATGAGCCTTAACACAGTTGAAAATGGTTCCTCCTCAAATGAATTACAACCTAAATGTTCATCCTGAAACAAATGATACCTGTACACTGGGAGATGATATACTCAGTCAGCCACCAGCCGAGTGTGCCGTAGCCCATCAGCCACACGGCTGTGTCTCTGCCAAGAGCTGCAGGCACATCCTTCGGACGGCAACAGCTCACCAACCTTCCATGGGAGGTGTGGGAGGAAGAGGGAATTGCAAGTCTGCTGTTCCGTCCGTAGCCGCCCGCTCCTCGTGCAGGCTGCTTGCCTTTGGGGGCACTCAGATTTTGCAGTGCTTTCTAGAAGTAACTGTTAGCTGCGTAACAAAGCTGCGCGCACACACATGCATCTGTTCAAATGTGGATACCTGATTCCAAACAGAAAGCATGTGCTGGAAGACCTTATATTTTGACCTAGCTAGTCTTTGAACCTGAGGGATACTGATTTTCGTCCTCTGTATGATGGATTTACATTTTATTCCTCTAAACTACCAGAATCTCTTTTCTTTCCAAAACAGCAGTTACAGAGTGAACATAAAAATCTCATTTAACCTCTCAGTATTTGTTACAGAAGACACTTGTTGAGCCACTATTTTCCATCTTGCATTTTTGAACCATTATGGCATGCCAGAGAGGGAAATTTCATTGAGCACAATTGATTAAAATTGCTGAAAGAAGCTTATGGTTTTGCTTTGCTTCCTGCTCCAATTTATTACTGTATGACAACAGTTACTGTTTGCCCACTGGAAGGGAAAGTCACAGCATAGAATTGTGGTTGCTTTACGATACAAACTTTTGCATCCTCAAACAAAAGACTTCTTTAAGGGTTTATTTCACATTCATTTTTAGGGACCTGGAAACGACAGTCTCAACACAAGCCATACACTATAGCTTGCAAGCAAACCAGTATATTACAATGACAAAGTAAACCTTTATAAAGCTTTCCACATAACAACTCAACATAACATTATTTTCCGTTCTGTTGGCCAGCCAAGAACTACATCATATGTGAGTATTACACTGAGCAAAAATATGAAGTAAATCTGGGGTTTTTGGACAACACCAGTAACAAAGCTGGAAAGCAATCTGAAGCATGCAATTGTACGCAGCTGAGCAGTAACACTCTGCCAGCTGTCTCAGATAAAAGTGCTGCATTTCAGTGGCCAGTTAAAAAGATTCAGCCATATTCATTTTACTGGACTTGAGAGGACAAGGACTGATATGTACACAGAGCCAAAATGGGAGGAGAAACTCTTCCAAATCACAGTGCTTGTTCCACATTTTCTCCACAACCAGAGCTCCGAGTAACACCAATGAAAAAGAGGAAGCAGAGGATGCAGCAGAATCAAGGGGAAGTAGAAGCGTACTTTTCCACAGCATCTCTCCCTTTAAGCTGTCAAAGGGACACGACTTTAGTACTCAAGTTAAAACCTTGCTGGCAGGAACAAAAGTGAAAATTAAGCTGCTTCTTTAAGAAGAAAGGGATCTGAACTCCTACTTTCCAGCTCTCTCAGACGACAGAAGGGATTGAAAAGCAGCTCTTCCAGGCTTTTGTAGGCTGAACTTGTGAAATCATGTATTGGCAGAGAAGCCAAGACATCAGGAGACCAGACTCTGCAGGCTCTTGGTAACCGCCACGGCATTTGTTAAGGCACGGGACTGATTACAGTTATAACTGTAACTTCAAGACAATAACTATTCAATCTTTTCAAAACACATGAAAGATTACTTTTTTCCTTTTTCTGTGTATGTCTTTTTTCTTTTCCTTCTTTTTTTTTTTTTTAAATAGGTAGAGTTAGCTTTTTTCTTTTTATTTTTTTTTAAATAATTAGAGTTATCTACCAGGGTTCACATACACAATACTCTTATACAGGCTTGGGTCAGGAAATGAATACTGCATCAGTGTTGACCTAGGAAAGGGGTCCACAGGAACAAAGGTATTAGCAGTAGCTACAGCCCGACTGCTCTGCACCGGCAATCTCTTACAGCAATTCTGCACAGAGCAGGGGAAAGACCAAGGCCCCCCTGCCCTGCATCACGTGCAGGGGAAGCCCTTGGGACAAAGCTCAGAGGCTCAAGAAGCAGAGTTACTGCCTAGGTTGGAATTTTGCAAAGATACCAGAATTAATAGGACTCCACAGATCTTGCTGTGTAGCAAAAGCCACAGAGCTTAATTAAAACCAAGCCCTCATCTGTTTGCAGTTATGGGTTAAACTAAAAGGAGGAAGGTATTCCCTTATTCAGCACTAATGCCCAGTGTGAGCCACCCCAGAAGGGAGAGTATACCCCCACAACACTGTACTGCTACAGGATATGGCCCTTAAACAGAACAGGACTCTTACAGAGCAGTGGTCTCCAAACCATTTTGACTATTAATCCCATCAGTAAAAAGTTTTGAGCACATACTCCCAATATAGGTATATTTATTGTTTATAAGATATATGCATGTACTACTAAAGTTCTTCCCACACCCCAGTGAATCGTTCTGCATGCACCCCACTTGAGACCACTGTTCTAGAGGACCAGCCTAAAAAATAAAAATAAAAAAACCAAACCAAACGAAAAAACTCCAAAGACTACCAAAACAGAGATCAAGACAGACGTTTGCTCCCACAAGATCTCTGGTTGGCAGGGACAGGAAGGCTGAGGAGTGAAAGGTTCCTCCAGGAAGAGCTCCAAAGCCAATCTCTGCAGTCTCCCTCCTGCAGCAGATGTTGGGATGCCAGCTGATCAGCAATATCACAAGTCGCTTTTTTGAGATTCTTCCGTTTGCCTGCTCTACCTGCCAAATCCCCATGCAGTGTTCATACCTGCTCCTCCCAGGGTCCCATTCATCTCACCCACAAAATATGCCATGGCAGCTGGGAGAGGTTGTCTTCCAGCCATAACTTCATGGCACTAAATGGAGTGCAGTGCTTCTGGGACACTGGAAAGAAAGGTTGTGGAAAGAAGGGGACACTGAGAAGAAACTTACCTCATCATCCTTCCAGTCTGAGAAATCAATCTTGAAGGAAGGCAGGGAGAATTGCTGGCTTACCCCTCTCTTGTAATGAACTGTCTCCGACTGCAGAGAGGGATTCTTTGTGCTGTATCTGAAGAAAGGGGGGAAAAAGAAAACTTGCTGTAACAAATGATTGCTCTCTGCTAGGCTCCCATTCAGTCACGCCTGTCGGCCTTTCAGGAATCACAAGTGGCAGCTCTAAGAGGCAGAGCTGGCAGGGGCTGGCAGCCATTCAGTGGGGATACAAAAAGGGAAGGGAACGGTCAAAGCAAGAAGGTGAGCACAGGGAAGGGAAAGCAGCGCAGACAGGCAAGGTCTGATTGGATCCATACTGACCTGCCTGGAAACACTGGGTGTCAGAGGAGTACAGGCGGGTGCGGCAGCCTGGCAAAGGCTAGCTCACTAAATCCTGGGCCTAGGCAACACTGGCTTTCAGCCCGGCACTGAGTCTTATTTTCTGCAGGAAACCCAGGAAGAACAAGCAACAGTCTAACAGTGGCAACACACTACCCAACACGGCGCTGAAAGCTCTCCTGTGCCTCTGTGGGACAGCTCTGCCATGAGAAACACTGCTCGGCTCGCCATCATCCTGGTAAGCAAAAGCCACTCCTATTCACTCCTCTGGTTCCTTGTGTGCTTCCCCAGAGGTGTTGCAGCACTACCAACACCACCAGAGAGACACCAACCAGTCCTGCACACCAGCCACCTGGAGAAGAGTCACACTGTCTTGAGGCCCAGCACTGAAACACCAGCACTGCCACAATGGGATGAACATCTCTGGAATGGGACCATAACTACAACCCACCATCTTCTGCATCAGCACTGTCTGCCCCAAGAGAGACATTTCACTGCCTCGAACCGTCACTACGGACAGGGTGAATCACAGTGGGCTTCAGTGCAAAACAGGAGCAAGCATTTTTCACCCCTTTTTAAAGGGAGATTTCTGAGCTGGATGTGCACAGCTTCTCACTGTGCCAATTCTGGCACAGGAGACAAAGCAGTGAACTGCAAAACAGGGTGGGAACATCTGAAGCCGGTTTTACCACCAAAGCCTTTGTTGTCAAGCTACCGACCATGTGTTCAGAGCATGTTGACAAACCAGAGAGAAAGTGAAAGATCCCTTGCCCAATAGGTTTACACTGCAGAAACAACAACCTCCCCTGGCACAGTGACGAGACAGGTCTAGCTCCAGCTCTACAGGAAAGACTTTAACAGCCAGACACAGCAATAGGGTGTTATCTCTTCTGCACATCACTTCTAACCACCGCTTCCCAAACAGAGGTTCACACGGTGAGACTGAGAGTACTGGCCTTCAGCCACAGCACACTGAACAGCTACAAGCTTGAAGCCTTGTTGACTGTTCAAACTTGATTGCCACTGTTTTTGATCAACCAGACAGCCCAGGGACAGGCGCTGCATTCGCACAAGAAACTCTAGGCCGATTTTTTTCCTTAATCCAGCTTGGAATATCACACAAGATCCCTTGACAACCAGCTCCTCAGATTTTGCTGACTGCATTTCTCAAAGAATAACATGGGTAGTACTATTGCCAGCCCTGTGAAGGAGACACCACCAGAGGAGATCAAGGCATTTGATGTGGCTGATTCAGTAGAGCCCTGTCAAGCACAGCAGTTAACAGTGTGCACAAAGGCACAGAAAAGAGAATCCTTGCTTGAAAAACAGGATTCTGTACTTTTGAGGACATTCAGCTGTTCTGAAACACAGGCACAGCCTACAAATCACCAAATACATAAGCAAAGGTTGGAAAGCTGCAAGTTCCTTCGGCCTAACTACACTGTGTGGAAGGGCGCAGCACACCAGGAGGGATGGCAATAGAAAGCTTTTATACATCTGAGGTAATGCCTTCTGGTTTCTGTAAGCAAAGAGCAAGAGCTCACGTCCAGAGGGCACGAAGCAAAAACCGTGGGAAAAGCCCATGGGGCAGAGTCAACCAGAACTGCAGAACTGAGCATCACACCAGAGATGTGAAGACTGGGCTGGAGGATAACAGAGGTGATTAGAGAGGACATGCCTGAACCTTAAAACTCAGCTTTAAGCGATGCTGTGGAAACTTTGCACTCAATGGCTACATGCAAGAGCCTACAAAGAGAGAGGGCTGCCCTCCAGGCTCAGACCAGCCAGCACTGTAACACAGAGTCTTAAAGCATGATGATTAGGGTGCATTTTGTAGCTGAAGGTATAAGAACCAGGATACCAGAAGATGATGAGTATTTATTAATTCCTCTCAAACCCAAGGAGGCAAAACCAGGCTCCCCGCTGGCATGAACTGCTGGCTTTCTCTGGAAAGCTAGTGTAGTTCCTGCACCTTCTGAGGAACCAGAAGGCTTATCAAGTGTCACAAGATCCACATGAAATTCTGGAAGGCCATGACGAAGGGCAGGTTCACCATGTGCACTCCGCTCTTCCTTCCAAGGCAGGTCCATTATGTTAGTTATGACAATACCTTACCCTCAAAGACTGTTCTGTAGTATGCTGAAATTGTGCTGCTTTACTAGGTCTCACTCCATCCTTCGCATTTAAACCATGGTGTATGAGAGATCAGAATGACAGGTCTTTTATGTGTGAATTACAGAGCAAGCAATTGAGTGAAGTTTTATTTACTGAGTTGTCAAGCACAATGAATAGAGCAAGCCTGTATCTAGCTCCTTTTGTGGCACGCTCAAAGCTTCCTAGCTCTGCAGAAAGGCACAATTCTCCCTCTACAGCTTGGAGAGCAGGGGATGGAAGAGTGACTTATCTAAGGTGACAGTAAATCAGGAACCTACTGGAAGTAAAGTGCAGAGGAAAGAGGTCAGAGGCTTCCTGGATGACATGCACCACAGCAGCCCTGGGAAGGGGTTGTAAACATGCTGATGATGAGTGCCAGGAAGGCTGGAGGACCTGCGCTTCCAGCACCAGAAGCCCAAACCAGTCTACAACAGCAAAACAAGTAATGCTGTTCCAAGAACAGAGTAGAACAATATTCGCATAGACTTGCTGCTCTCACCACCCCTGAGAAAATAAATAAACCATGTGTACAGGTTTTCTGAGCAGAAGAATATGACAAAAATGTCAAGGAGGCTTCCCCAAGTGAATCGTGAGCTTTATGCCTGGGACCATGTGACTGCCTAGCCCCCATTGTCAAAACGCATGTCAGACCTGGATCTGAACACCCAGACAACGCTGGAGACCTCCAGTCAGCACCCAGTGCCAAGGCAGCTGAGCACCAGCGAGCCAAGAGCCTGGTGAAATCCCTGGACACGCTGGTGACCACAGATTGTCAGAGATCAATCATCTTTCTGAGGTGATGCACAGGATCCACTGCACAAGTACACACTCCTTGTGCTGCACAGGAGGACAACTTGGTAAGCTGTTAAAAAGCAAGTATCCTGCCTATTAGAGTCTAAGTGGTCTCTATCCCTCCCCAGCCTTTTTGGTTGGCATCTGCTGTATTCGTAAGTCTTCTACTCCCTGCTTGTGCTGCTGTGGGCTTACAGCAAACAATAGTGGAGAAGCTCTAGAGTAGAGAAGAGTAGAGCTGTGGAGATGTGTTACAGAAAAAGAGAGCACGTATTAAGAATAAAGGATAGCAGAGGAGTAATGCACTGCCTCTCCTTGCATAAAGGAAGAAATCTGAATGTTTGGGCTGCTCTTTCTCAGACTGCACTGGGCCAGGTCTCCATCTAGATGGGAGGTCTAACAAAACCACCTTGCAATCAACAGCAGCTCAGGACAATGGACAAATAGGGTCTGTTCTATTAGGTCAAGACCAAACAGAAATCCCCAGTCACATTTTTTTAAACCTGTTTGCTCAGGTACCCCTGACAGCATGAGAATCACCAGCAATGCAAGGTACCACAGTGCTGACTGCAGCAGCAGCCCCCATCTCTGTTTTCAGGATTCATGGAGCCCATCTCCTCTTGCAAGCTCTTTGACACACCTTTACTCCCACAGAGAAGCTTACACTCCACACTAACTCCTTCCTCCACCCCCCAAAACCAGCTGTGTCTATTTGAGAATCAGCAGATGAGAAGCCCTGTGGCTACATCACACTGATTTTTGAGAGAATGGGAAACAATCTAAAATTATTCCCCAGTCTCACACCTCCACCATCAGCTAAGAAGCACACATTGCCTGCACAAAGAAATTCAGCCCATGGCTCAAGCAGACTTCTCCCTGTATGCAGTCCAGACTTGCTACCGGGTACCTGTAGACCTTAAGTAGCTCCCAAGCCACTGGTGGCATAATAATGTTCGGGAACCTCAGGATAAGCAAAGTTAAACCTCTGTTGCTACATGCTCACTGGAGACACAACACAGTATGTGTTTCCCCCTCTCATTCATCCCTGCTCAGCGCCTGGGGAAGTTCTCAGCAGGACGCCAGTCCCAACTCGTGCGGACTTCTTCACTGCTGCGTTCCTCCTGCTCAGCTCTGCCTGGCACTGGGGCTGCCTCCGACAGCCAAAAGGTGGTACCTGTTACCACAAGCACACTGGGACTCCTGACCAAGCAGCACCATGCAAGGATCCTAGACAGCCTGTCTCAGAGTTAGGCAGAGCACTGTCCAGACCCCATTCCTCAGAGAAAAGCAGGATGCACATTGCAGTGTTGCCCCCAGGTACTGGTTCTGACTAGTAACGGCTGAGAGACAGTCTGTGCTTTGAAGAGCCTATGGACAAAATAAGAGACCTCTTCCTTTAGTAACAGCTATGCATGTTGCATAGCAATTTGCAGTGAACTGGAGAGAAGGCAGAGTTACATGAGTGCTTCAGAGGGTACTTGGAAACTAATTCTTCCACTGCTGCAGGCTGTAACTGCCTGGTGGGCTCCATGTCCTCTTACAGGTGATGAGGAAGGAGCCAGTCACATTCTGCTGATGTTCAAAGGGGCCAGGCTGGCCCCCCTCTCTCTTCCACCCACACACTCCCCTTTCATTTTGGGCCAGGATCTCACAGGTCAGCTTTCAGGGAAGAGGAAAACTGAACGAGTGTCTCAACTCAAAGTGATTTTTACTGATAAAAGAAACACCACCAAAATATAAGAAGGCCATAGCCCTGGGTCTCAGTCAGAGTTAGGCAAGATCCAGCCCAGA